GACAGACTCATTCAACAGGAAATTGCGGCATCTGGGTGGCTGTCCCGAGGTTGTCATTCCCCCAGCAGATGCAGAGCGGTGCCCACACAGGGGGGGACGTCTCCATAGCCACCACAGGGATGGATTCATCCGTTGTCTCAACCATTGGTCTGTAGCTGTTGTCAGGCCCAATGGGGAGGGGGGCAGATTGCCGTGACAATAACCCAAACTAACGAGTGTTACCTTGTGAGCGTGTGTGTGTGGCCTGTGTTTATTTTGAAGGAGTTGGGTTTGCGTGAATAAGATCAGCCTTTTTGACGTAACAGAATCAATTGCTCCCACTGAGGAAAACAACAAAGGTTGGGTTGTGATGGATGGATGCGCCTCCCCTCCCTACATTCTCCCACCTCCAAGTGCACCACTTCCCATTTCCCAGTAGAGGTCCTTGGGATGAAAGCTGGTGACTCATCCACCAACTTAACATGCATGCTTTCCACTCGGTGTTTCTCTTCCTCACAACTTTTCAGCCTCAGTGTATTTTTTTTGTATACAAAAATACTGTTTCTAAATTCTCATAGATATTCCCCGAAATATGTATAAAACTCTCCCCGACTCGACTGTGTGTGTGTGTACCACTGGAGGCCTGTTAATGAATGAGTCACCAAGAAACATGACATGTCATTGACAGGTGAAGCAGATTATGGAGGAATCCGTCACCAGGAAATTTGTTCACGAAGACAGCAGCCACATTGTGTCCTTTTGTGGTGAGTAACCAACAAACAGGAATGAATCACACGGCTTTACTCCTTCGAATCTCCGTCAGCTTCATTGATTCTACCACACTGTTTTGTTCCTATTCAAATTTCTGATGTTGTCATTGTGCATGAATAGAGCGCTAAATTATTGACGTTTACCAACAATAATATAGTATAACGCATATAGAAATATTCATATTCCTGGAAAACCTGGCAAAACCAATCTCTGTCCATCAGAGCGGAAAAACCGTATTATTGTTTTTTTCTATACATATAATAGAGTTCTTGTCCAACAAAAAGACCATAATTTCTAGAAGGGAGGTGACATTTCTGCTGCTTCTTTGAAAGCAGACAACAGGCCCATAACCTTTGTGCGTAATTAGCGTGATATAGGAATAAAGTTTGGTTTTTCACCAAATGTTATTGTTCTTGCCTCTAAATAGAGGGTGCATCATGATTACTGTTAGAAACACGCTGCCCACATGCAGGTGCTCACACTAGTGAGAAATCTGGCTTAGTCCAGAGCTGTGATCAACAACAAGATATATTTTTAGGTTTTAGTGTGAGTCACAGGCCGCAGAAGTTTTTTTGGGCCCCGGATTTTTTTATGTGAGTACATTTATTAAAGATTTGCACAAATCTGCGTTCAAGTATAAATTTCCAATGAATCTTGTTACTAAATATCCTCTTTCAGTCGGTTGAGCTCGGCCAGCTCAGCGGGGAGCAATTAGCCTCCATCACCATCGCTCCTCTGATGAGGGACCAGGCAGAGAGACGTGAACGCTGTGTGTGTCAGAAAGCCACCGCTTGACTTGTGAAGCGATGAAAAGTGGAACGGGAAAGTTAAAGACAGTGCAGTGCAGTAGTGCAAGTTGTAGTAGACCACACTTTTTGACAAAGGGAGCTGTTTTGACTTTAGTAGCCAATTCAATTTAAATGAATTCCTATATTTGCAATTTTAAATGTTCCCATCACTCGCTCTAAAAGTGATTCAGAGCCGTTTGAAAAGGTTGCGGGTAACTTCGACTGCCATTTCAGACTGTGATTTTCTCAAAGAAAGGCGTGTTGTTTAGTTTGGCCCACTGTGCTGGACCTAGAATGTGATATGACTGCTGCGTGTTGGGGGACGGCGTTGTAATCCGTGGCTGCCACGTGAAATGCAGGCGAGACACTCGAGCCGATGGGTCGCGCTCACATGCAACAATCTGCGTAAAAAGCATGCGACAATTGTCAAAGCAGAAAGAGGCTCGGATAACAAAACAGAGAGGCCAGATTCAGCTTTACACTTCTTTACATAGAAAATAGTTGTTTATTAATTTCTTGATCTGTAACAACCGTCTGTGTTTTTCCTTTTAAATTAAAAACGAACACAAACGGTAGACTGAAGCAACCTTAGATAACGTTTCTATGGATCCATTTATTGATTTTTTCCTTCAGCATTGTCCTTGTAACGACTGGTGGTGCCTTTGGCTGCTGCGAGTCAAGTGTTGGTCGGCTTTGTGTCACAGGAGTCTTTAAATGCACTCAGTTGCCACAGATACAAGATGGTTAGAGGCCATTTACCAAGTTAGCTGTTTCTACCAGGAGGCAGAGCGGATACAAATTGCATGATGCTTATTGTCTTGCCACTGCTCTTATTGATTATTGTGGTCAGGATGCGGATTGAGCGTTTCGTTTTACAGGAGACACTGAACTCTTTTTTTTTTTACACAAAGGCATTGGCTCTATAGCTTACTACACAGACAGTTCATTGTAGAAAGTATAAACCTTTGGGAGTCACTTTTCTCTGCTTCTTTGTCATCTGAAACCAATTAACAAAAACAAGGAGAGAATGGATATCTGGAGACCTTTTAATGTGACCCTTTGTTCTGACATTTAACTTCTTGATCTTTTAATGATGTTGGGGGGGAAACGGCACCGACGGATACGGAGCAAAATGAAGAGAGAGAGAGAGACAAAAAGGAAAGATTGACCTATTTAACTGATAAAAGTTCAAGTCTGGGGTGACACTAAGTGAAACCCTGTTAACAGAGATTGAGAGCAGCGACAGAGAAGACAGGTGCTGAGCGACGTGATGATGAAGGGCGGGGTAGAAGCTGCGTTTGAAGCCGGGAGAGCGATGGAGACACAGAGAGAGATCGTGACGCTGATGGGCTGCCGCCGCCCCTCCCTCTGCTCGTCTCTCCCAGAGCTCCATCAACAGGGGTTCCCATGGCAACACCAGCCTTCCCTCTGACCCCATGTGAGCAGAGCCACAGGATTAGTCCTGAAAGAGAACTAAAATGTCAACACTGCTGCAGGTGCTGCCACGTAGGCCAGAGAGTGAACGCGGCTGTCTGCTTTTCTGCACGGTTGATTGATCTTTCAAGTGTGTCATCGACTTGTGTGTCCGACGCAGCTTATGCAAAGCTAGTTTATGCACAGATGATTATGTGAAAACCGAAATTTGCTAAAAGGTTGTTTTTTTGTATTTAGGAAATTGATTTTAAGACATATTCACTTAAATCCAACTTCCCCTGGAAACATATGTATGTAGGCTAGATCAAAATTAAATATAAAATACATAGAGTAGATATTCACTGTGCAGAACTGTGGAGGGAGAAGAAACTCACTTGTCAACTGAAATGTTTACTTTTAATTACATTGATGTGGATGACATGTCTGGAAAATAGTAGATGCCACAATACTGCTGCATAATGTATTGACTCTAATTAGCATTAGTTTCAGAACATTTCATTTTGCAAATCCAAGCTGTACTTTAAGATATGTTTTATGTTAAGAATGGGTCCATTTACTGCGTAATGTCGAAGCTCCATGGAATCTCTCCCCTCATTGTTATCCCCAGATATTTTTTCCTGCAGTTGGTGGAGACACAGAGCTCATAGGAGAGACTAAGATGTCTGCTGTCCTCTATTGATATGTATTTCCTGCATATATTAGAAAAGTGCACTTTGGTAAAGAGCAGAAACGTTTGTGTCCACACAGCTGCGGTGGAGGCTTGTGTTCTGCACGGGCTGAAAAGGCGAGCAGCAGGCTTTCTGCGCAGCAACAAGATAGCGGCGCTGTTCATGAAGGTGGGGAAAAGCTTCATCCCCGCTGAGGAGTTGTGTAGGAAAGCACAGGACCTCGAGCAGATAATCGACTCAAAGTGAGAAACGCACACGTCCCCGGCTTGTTGCCACACATCACAGCCGACTTCAAAAGCCGACATCAAAGCAAAAGCAGAAGCACTGCAAACAAATGGCTATTGCTTACTTTGAAGGGCTATTTTTGCTATGAAAGGCTTCTAAATTATTCATCTTTGTGAGCTTTTATGAATCATGAATCACTGAAACCATTAGTGTCCTGCAGATGCAGTTTTACTTAATAGAACTCAAAGCCTTGCTGTACTTGTATTGTTTATACTCAAACTTGTGACTCTGCAGACGAAGTCAAAGCTTGCAAAGTCAGGACAGCATTCGCAAGATGCCGCGACTGCCCAGCTTCACCCAGCAGGGGGTCAAGAACCTGTGGATCCGGACGGCTCTATTCGAGAAGGTGCTGGACAAGATTGTCTTGTACCTGGTAGAGAACAGCAGGTACGTTGAGACGGGTCAATGAATTCACCGTTCAGCTGTTTGTGTTACAAGACCTCGACGTGCCCTCAAAACTCCCCTTTCGCGTTTGTCTGGCAGTAAGTACTACGAGAAAGAGGCTGTTCTGATGGACCCCGTGGACGGACCCATCCTCGCCTCTTTGTTAGGTAATTATGCGTGACATTGTAAGCATGTGTGTCTTTTGGTGTTGTCATCTTGCCGTGGTGTTTGCCATTACTGTTGCTACAGCGTAACCCAGCGCTGATAACTGCTTACCGGTACATCCCACAGCTCGGTTCTGCTCTATGTAACTGCCCTCCTTCCCTTTGGCAGTTGGACCTTGTGCTTTGGAGTACACAAAGATGAAGACAGCCGACCACTTCTGGACGGACCCGTCCGCTGACGAGTTGGTGCAAAGACATCGCATCCACGGTGGCAACTGCAGACAAGACTCTCCCACTAAGAGGCCAGCACTGTGTGTGAGTACTCCAAGAAGGTGTCGGTTTTTAGTTTATCTCTCGTGTGTATCTGGCCGAGTTTTAGTGTGATCAGATCCGTTCGCTCCTGAGACGCTGCCTGTCTGGTTTCAGGAGGATGTGCTAAGATTACCACATAGAGTGAAGTAGAGTGTCCCGGGAGAAAGAACAGAGTGTATCTGAAACCTGCGCACTTGGTGAACCAGGTCAACTCGACTGTCTCACTGCGTTACAATGCTCTGTACAGTGGCTCACTGTGTATTTCTATCTGTGTGTTGCAAGCAAAAGCATGGTTAAAAGTCGTTGGCATCAGGATCCTGGGAGGATGCATGCGTTGGTGCACATGAATGCATCTCATATTTCTCTTATTTTGAGTCATGGGAAAACAAAATATGTTATCCATAACAAATGGCTGTGACTGGCCAGCTGTAATTCATTCTGTGGTGATGGTGATCAGATTAGAACTATGCTACGGTGATTGTTATCTGATGTGATGTGTTTTGTGTCTGTGTTGTGCAGATCCAGAAGCGCCACTCCAGCAGCAGCATGGATGAACGACCTTCTCCCTCGCCATCAGCTCGTGAATATGTGGAGTCACTGCATCAAAACAGCCGAGTGACCCTGCTGTTTGGCAAAAACAATGTGCTCGTGCAACCGGTAACTGTCTGCAGCCTCTATTGAGAAGCTTAATACATTATTTCTCCACACGATCCAAAGTCTGCTGAATATTTATTTGCAAATCAATGCCATTAACAAAATAGTATTTTGCATATTTCATCATCATCCCATACATCTCAGAAAACCGAACAAGAAGCTGATATACACTGTAAAATGTATAAAAATGCTGCAATAACTATGTGCCGTATCAGGTATTCTTTGTGCACGTGTGTTACCGATGTCAACACATGCACACGGCTGCGGTACTTAGTCGTTTCTTGGTCTTCGCGGCTGTTTCAGAGGGACGACATGGAGGCCATCCCGGGTTACCTCTCTCTGCACCAGAATGCTGACCTCATGACCCTGAAGTGGACTCCCAACCAGCTCATGAACGGCTCGGTTGGAGACTTGGACTACGAACGCAGGTGCAAAATGATCCACCTGCAAAGTATATCACGATGTGGGGATTGTGTCAAAGCCTGTGTTTGGTCTTATTAGCGATCCTTCTTATATAACGATATCTAACGCGTGAACGTTCGCTGGGTATCTTACCATCTTTTATCAGCTGTTTGTGTAACACTCGGCTGTAACTGAATAATGCAGTGAGTTTGAGTGTGTCTGGGCCTCAGTGTGCAGAGTCAATGCTGATCATCTGTTGAGGCTGGTTTTGAGCACTCCAGCAGCTAGCAGATGGTTTATTGACTGAGGCGCCGTCAGACATCTCTCACACCCGCAAACTGTGTAATGGTCCTGCGCCTCTGCTTGGTTTGCCTCAGCAAACAAATGGATTGCTGCTTTTAGTAAATTCTGCTCATGCTGCTCATCCTTGTGCTTTCTTCTAACTACTTTCTTTATTTGACATCAGATTATTTTCCTTGAGATTTCAAGTTCAATTTCCTGTGGATTACCTTTTACTGTTAGCTTTAGCTCTGCATGCTGCGTGCTAACACTGCTCTGGGACTAGTCTATTGACTCTGTATTTAATTCATGTTTTCAGTGTATACTGGGATTATGCCATAACCATCCCTCTGGGGGAGATCGTTTACTTACACTGTCATCAACAAGGTGGGTCCTCCAAAATGCACATTTTTCCTTTGTTGTTTGCTTTGTTGTTTGCTTTTCTGTCTGTTATGAATGTCTACAAAACAACAAAGCTGTCGAATAAAATGTCAGCCTGCCTAATTAAACCAAGACTACATTTGCTGCAGTTGACAGTGGGGGGACGGTGGTGCTGGTCAGTCAGGACGGGATACAGAGACCTCCACTCCGCTTCCCCAGAGGAGGCCACTTGCTGCAGTTCCTCTCCTGCCTGGAGAACGGCCTCCTCCCCCACGGCCAGCTGGACCCTCCACTCTGGTCCCAGAGGGGGAAGGTCCGGATAGATTACACAAATATGTAACTGATAGAAACAATAGATCTATAAAACACATCTGGAAATAGATGCACTGCAGTGTTGTTGGGATTTTGGTTAAATACATAATGTTCCCTCTGCACCAACAATTGTCTTTCTGAGTGGAGGTTTTTGTTGGACTGGGAGTAGCATTGTATCCACAGTTAAACACAATAATGCAAACCACCCACACATGCTCAAGTGCTATTAATAAGCCGAAGCTTGCTGACACTCATCGTCTTTAATTCACATGGATGGTTTAGCCGGACTCTAATGGTTGTGACATTTTGCTTGTTGGCATCACTTTAACGTGTTGTATTCCAATTGCAGGGGAAGGTGTTTCCCAAGCTGCGTAACAGGGTTCCTCAGGGATCTGGGTCCTCAGACTCGGTCTCAGACAAGGAGGAGGACGAGGCCACAGACTACGTCTTCCGCATCCTCTTTCCAAACAGCCAGTCAGAGTTTGGTGAGATTCCTTCCCGAGAAGCAAATAAATATGAACAGCACTCTTTTTGTATTTGTTATTCAAATATCACAGGTGTTGTTTGTCACTGTAACCGTAACCTGTCCTCCCTATCTGACCTCCTCCCTCTCCCTTTAACTGAATGAGCAGTCCGCCTCCAAAACAAAACAGGGACCCCGCTTGTTACCAAGAGGCCCTGCAGCTGTCCTGAAGAATCCGACTCACTGACACACCTCGGCTCGTCTGTCAGCTTGCTTTTAGCTCTCTGCATCTGGAATGATCCCAACCCGTCCTGCGCCTGTGGCAAAGTGTATCGATGTGCATTGTTATTAAAGCCCCTCGTGCTCCCCGTCGGCTTGTGTCACACTGTTTTACTGCATTACAGTCACTGATCTGATATGGCTTATTTCACCATTGATCTACATCTCTGATATTGTTATAAAATATACCGGATTCATGCCTTAAAATTGTGCATCTAATCCAGATTTCATGAATATTCAGTTTTTATGCTTTATCTTTGCTCCAACAGGAATCAAGTGCTTTTTCACATTGATGAGCAAAATTATGTTCCAACTGTGTTCATGTCAAATGTAATGGTTGTGAAAAGCCTCCGTAGCTTAACGCTTGTGTGTGTGTGTGTGTGTGTGTGTGTGTGTGTGTGTGTGTGTGTGTGTGTGTGTGTGTGTGTGTGTGTGTGTGTGTGTGTGTGTACGCACATGTTGCAGTGACTCCTCCAGACTTGATGGATCACGGAGCTACATTGTGGCATCCCACTCTCAGGAAGTCCTCCTGTTCGTCTTGTTCTCAGGGGAGCTTCTCTGATGGGGCGACGCCCAAGGGGTGCAACTATGAGAGGTTAGACGTCAGCACTTAAATTGTGAAAAGAGAAAGTGCTAAAGACAAAAAGTGACACGAAACCCAACAATAGAACCAAAACTGAGCAAGAAGCAAAAGATACAAGAACCTTGCAATTACACACGAGCAACTATCTGACATTTACCTCTCTGACATGAGAATGGGCTGATAAGCGTCTGGGCCTGTTTGTTCTGTATGTCAGGTAATCATTTGAATTCTAAAAGGTTAAACCCAACACTGTGATAAACTCCAGCACTGGGCTGTTAATGCAGTGATGGTTTGATGATTCTCTTTTAAGGAAAGAGCAGAAGAAAGTGTTTCCTGGACATAAATGTGCTGTTTCTTCCTGCAGGGCTCCTCTGAAGCTGCTGTGCGACAACATGAAGAATCAGATCATCTCTCGGGCGTTTTATGGCTGTAAGTGATTGATAATAGCTCGCCCTGAAAATCCTTCAATATTAGCATCTATTCACATTCACTTTAAATTTGTGTCGGAGGTAGAAAGTAATATCCTCATTTCAGTTATCACTGCCATCTGCAGAGCCATTCAGTAATGAACTGTATTGTCAACCAGGGTTGGCATACTGTCGTCACCTGTCCACTGTGCGTACACACCTCTCTGCTCTCGTCAATCACACCATTGTGGCGCCCGAAGTGCCGTGCGATGCCTACAAAGGACTCACCACGGATGTGTGGCAGACGTTCCTCCAGGACTGCACAGTAAGCATCGCTGGTGTCACAGCACTGCAGTGCAGACACTGTGCTGTGTGCACACACACACCTGTGCATGCATGTCCACTCCCAGACTCTGTTTTTCACTCTGTCAGTCTTTTGTCTCATCCATATTCATCCTCTGCTGATCATTTGGTTCACACCATTAGTCTCACAACAGCGTGCATGAAGTGGGACAGATTGATTCTGTCAGTCTCAATGTCCACACCTCTTTGGACTTCAGGTACATTTACCTGAAGCCGTGGAGGGTTTGAACTTTAATATTTGTCTTAAAACTAGGTAAGTATTATTTATTATGTTAGCCGCCCCAAAATGAACTCAGTCAATAAACTCTGGACAGAGTAGTTTAACAAACAATGGTCCATTTACTAGCTCATCCCATGTTAAGGGTTTGTCTTCTACTGATATCGTCTTAAGTGGTTTCATTTAAACCAATTACGCCATTAAGCAACAGTTGCTTTTAAACTGGATTTAACTCATATCTGATTCATCTTGCTGTCAATCAAACTCCAAATACTGAGCACATACATAGTTATAATCACGGATGCAGAATCTAATCTTTACCATCTGCCAACCTCTCCTGCATTCTCTGTGCAAGCTGGGGCCTCTACAGGCTACATGTCATATTGAATGTTTTAAACATGCAGGGAGTGAACATTGTATTTTTAATGAAGGTGCACATCCAACTGTTGATTGAAATCCTTTTTTTTTTTAAGTACTTGCATCTTCTGTCCTCAGGCATACGATGAGAACGAGCTGCTTCGTCTGGTGTACTTTGGCGGTGTGGACGCCTCGCTGCGTAAAGAGGTGTGGCCTTTTCTGCTGGGTCATTACCAGTTTGGAATGTCAGAAGCCAGGAGGAAAGAGGTTTGTAGTTTGCTTGATTGTGATTGGCTTCGGGTTCGAACCATTTTCACCCTGAAACGTGAGACTCTCGATCGGCCAACCCTCGACCCCCAGGTGGACGAACGGGTCCGAGTGTGCTACCAGCAGACCATGCGTGAGTGGCTCGGCTGTGAGGAGATCGTCCGTCAGCGCGAGAAGGAGCAGCATGCTGTTGCATTGGCAAAGTGCTCCTCGGTAGTGAGCATGGACAGTTCCAGTCAGAAGATCACCCACCACAACTCCACCGTCAGCAATGAGGTGACACAGGAACGCACACTTACTGTATATTCAGGGTTAGGAAATAAGTGCGTCCGTTTTTACAAGTGAAGGTCTGGTCACTGGTCTGGTTTACGGGCAGCACAGTTGCTGAACTGTTGGGAAATTGTCTGTTGCTCCAAGATGTATAGGCAGCTATCATGCTGAGAGAGAATACTGGTTGTTTTTCCTGCAAATGTGCTTTGTTGTAAACAAGTATTTACTCTTAATGTGAGCAGAGCATTTGTCATGAGCCAACAATAACCGAGATGCATATCAGTAAAACATAATAATATATTGGTCTTAATGTTTATTACCCAGTCCCAGTCGCCCCAGAGCTCAGACAGGCAGAGTCTGGCTCGCCTGCAGAGTGACTCCAGCAGCAGCACACAGGTATCAAATTCTACCAAATACCCTCCTTATTACCGCCTGCATAGTCTTTTTTGAAAAGGATCTTTCATGCAAGCAGGATGACGCTTCTCTCACGCTTTTTAGACTTCTAATATCCTGATCCTAAAGACATGCATGTGATCTGAACCGTCTGAACCAATACTCCTCATCCTTGCATTCTCTCCCTTGCTAGTTCTTCACCTCCTCCCATCCCTTCCCCTGGAGTAGCCTGCTTCCCTTTGGCTTGTTCTTTCAGGTGTTTGAGTCTGTAGAGGAGGTTGATCAGATCGAGACGGAGCCCAAGAGCGAGGAGGCCAAACAAGGGCCCAAGTTACCCAATGGAGCGATGCAGAACGAGACAAGCTCTCCTGACTCCGGACATCCCTCCTCCCGCAACTTCTCGGTCACCTCGGGCCTGTCGGACGGCTCCCTCAGCACAGAGGACAGCGCTGCAGCTGATACGATCCCAAGATCTGCAGCTGCTCCTCAGGCACCGCAGAGCCAGGTCAAACCCGCAGAGATACAAAGTGAAGGTCGGACAGATGAGTTGGACAGCCAGGTGAGAGGTAAAATGAAGACCAAAGAGGAGGAGGAGGAGAAAGCGACCAAAATTGAGCAGCCGTTGAAGGCCAAAAAAGATGCAAATCTGCAACCAAAAACGCAAGAAACTGTTGCGGTGTCTGAAGTTGTTCAAACAGAGGGACCCAAGTCTAAAAATGAAGACGCACTGGCGGACATTAAAGGAGTTACATCTGTAGAGTCGGGGGAAACCAAAAAAGAGGTGCTTGATGAGGATACTGTGACGGTGTCGGCAGCTCCTTCAGGATCTACAGGAGAACCTGTAAAGCAGAGTCCTAAAACAGCAGTAGAAGAGAGTCTTGAGAAAACTTTAAAGCGTAAGAAATCTGAAGAAGCAAATGTTGAAACGGCTACTGGCATCTACGGGTTAAAGTCAGGTCAACCCCAAGTTTTGTTGGCAGACTTGAGATCAGTTGATTACAAGAACCCTGAAGTTGAGAAGAAACTAGATTTCTCAGCCGGCAGCGGCGTCGCGAGACCAAGAGAAGCCTACTTTGCATCCCAGACAGGCAAGGCTCAGGCCATGACTGAATCAGATGAGTCTCCTCCGGCCGTGGAGATGGAGGAGATCCCACAAGCCAAAGTTTCCATGGTGCCTTCGAGCAGGAAGGGACCCTGCGAAGCACCCTCTTTCTCCAAGGACTCGTCCCCCTACGCGGAGCTCAGGCAGGAGGACAAGCGGGGAAAGCGCAGTCCCGATATGACAAAGCCCGCCGCGTGTGAGGAGCCGGAGAGCGAGAGCCTGGACCCTCACTTTGACTCTCTGGCCGAGTCTGGACACACCAAGAATGAGGCGACCTCTCAACCATCAGCTGGGAGTCCCTTCTCTGTATGCACATTTATTTTTTTAAGTCTTTTTCAAATTACATCACGTACATTACATCTTCATGTGTATATTTATTGTGTGTTTCAGCAAGAGCTTTTGGACTTGTATACATTAAATCTGCACCGCATTGAAAAGGACGTCCAGCGCTGTGACAGAAACTACTGCTACTTCACTCCGGCCAACCTGGAGAAACTGCGCAACGTAATGTGCAGGTAAAACACTGGCAGCATCAGTGTAATGAAGAGTGTGATCGGGATCCTTTGACTCAATGTATCAATGTGCTTATGTAAAGAGTTTTTTGGATTACAATAATGCCTCCATCCCAATCTTTAAATGTTTTATTTTCCAACAAATCATGATTAGACCAAATATAGTCAGAAAGTAATTGATGGTTTGGGTATTTTGACAGATATAAACAGAATGCCAGGCTTTGCCTTTAACAGCAATGGAGCTCCACATAAGTACAAGTGAAGGGCCACTTGTAGTAGTTGAAACAAGTGCCTCTAAAATAGCACATTTACACCTTAGAGAAGCTGACTCATTCTGCATCTTGTGACTCTCGGCGAGTGGCAGATAAAAGCAGCCGAGGGCCGTTGAGTTCACGTCTCCTGGTTGTTTTCACAGCTATATCTGGAGGCACCTTGACATCGGTTACGTACAGGGCATGTGTGATCTGCTGGCTCCACTTCTAGTCATTCTGGATGACGGTGAGTCAACGCCGACTCATTCTCATCTGACGTTTGGTGTATTTTTATAGGTATTGATGGAACAAGCGAGGACAGGTCGCCCACTCATTGTCTCACCCCAGCGTCCTCGCTCTGTTGTCTCTTTTCAGAGGCCATGGCCTTCAGCTGCTTCACTGAGCTCATGAAGAGAATGAATCAAAACTTTCCACACGGAGGAGCTATGGATACTCATTTTGCCAACATGCGCTCTCTAATCCAGGTATTCAAGCACTGTTAAAGTCTTTCACCGAGACCGTTGTGGTCCGGTGTCACTTTGTGTGGCCCTGAATCTCCTCTGATTCCCTCGCGCTGTAGATCCTGGATTCCGAGCTGTTTGAGCTAATGCACCAGAACGGAGACTACACCCACTTCTACTTCTGCTACCGCTGGTTTCTCCTCGACTTCAAGCGAGGTAAAGAGACCACATGGTGCAAAAGAGTTCGCCAATTAGAGGAGGGGTGGATTCACGCCTCTTTGAACCCTGTCGGTGAATTAATCAGTAATCTGTAAAGGTTTTCTCTCCTGGGAATCCGAGTGCAACCTCCGAGCAAGCACCTGCTTCCGCTCTTATCTCTCTCCCCTTTCTTTATGTGATATCTGTTCCAGAGCTGGTGTACGACGACGTGTTTGCAGTGTGGGAAACGATCTGGGCAGCCAAGTGTGTCTCTTCTGGTCACTTTGTGCTCTTTATTGCTCTGGCGCTGGTGGAGATCTACAGGGACATAATCCTGGAGAACAACATGGACTTTACTGACATCATTAAGTTCTTCAATGGTAAAATATCACTTAACAGCTAACTATCTAATAAATGTCAAATAACAATCCACAAGGAAATTGTTCAAAAGCTACTTGCTGTTACGCTTCGGTTCAGATGTTCTCCAGACATTTTAGGAAAATAACATTGGCCATTTGTGTCTTTTTATCTTTCAGAAATGGCCGAGCACCACAACATAAAGCGGATTTTGACCATGGCCAGAGATCTGGTGTGCAAGGTGCAAATGCTTATAGAGAACAAGTGATTGTGCTCTTTGTCTTCTTCTTCCTTCCAAGTTAAGTGTGACCTGCTGTAGCAGCACAAGATTCACATACATGTGATCACACAGGCTCTTTCTCTCTCTCTCTCACACACACACACACACACACTCTACAAAGCCTTTACAATCACAGTTTGCTGCTAGGAGCCTTATTGACTGTGTCCACAATGTTGTTTGTGTTGTTAACATATGTATGTGATAATTATGCTTCATATTTTGTCAGTACGTTCAAGTGAAAGTGATTTATCTGAAAAAATGTTTTATTTAGTTTATACATCTGCCATAAATTCCTTGTGTGTAAATGAATCCAGGTGTATTTTGAGATACTAATCGTTTTAGTTGCACAAATTCTATGGCAGAATTCCACCAGAGACTATATTTATGCAAAAATATATTGTAATGATAGTTTCTAATAAATATTTCAATAGTCAACAAGTTATTATTCAAATATATTCTCCCTTTTTGCTGTCGCTTCATAAAGGACAGAATGTCAGCAGAATTTCCCTCTTTCCTCAAATGTAACACCCAAAAATGTAATCACTTTCTACTGATGACAGACTGGCTTGTAATCCAAAATGTAACCTGAGCTCCATTTCTGTTTCACACGCAGCATTAAGAATGATTTAGCATTTAGCACCTGGTCGGTGATTTAGCATCTAACAGTGTTTAAAACGTTTTAATTGAACTGCCTTGCGTGCCAAATGTTATCTTTATTTGTTATTTGCATATTGTACTGTACTGAGAGATACATGTGTTAAATTTATGAGGATTATAATGTGTAAAATCTTAACCTAATCTCAGAGTGACGTACGGATGTTTGTGCGGAGATGTATATAAAGTAACCAGCCTGTTAGCCTCTTAAGTTGTGTTTCCTTATCCGGTGAATCTTTATATTTTGTAAATGATTGCAGTTTACTTACCTTTATTTTTGTCTAGTATTGTCTAGTTCCTCCTTGTTGAATTAAATGTTAATTTCAGCTTGATTGGTACTTTGCATTTGGAAGATGAGATGAGGCAGTAAAAGCAGTTACATGCTGACCAAATTAAAACATTTTCGGTATCACGTTAGTGAGATTCTCCAGTGGGAAAGGGACATAGACATACAGGTGAGAATGGAAGATACAAATGACGTTATGAGAGAATCTGTTTTGATGTTTTGACAGATTTGGTAGTTGTGAGGGCATTCAATATATATGATTTAAACCCCTAAATTAATACGGATGTAGGACCTGATTTGCAAACAGTTTTGCTTGTAATTTATAGCCTAAAACTTAATTGTTCTTCAAGTAAATGTTTCAAGAATGTTGTTAGATCAATTGCTTTTAATATGCTGTTTCTTGTGAATGCTTATTCCTGGCAGGAAACGTATTTTGTATGTATATTGTAACTTTTATTTATTTATTCAATCAGTTTTTCATTCCGATGCTGCTTTGTTTGTGAAGCTGATATTTTTGTTTTGTGGCCATTTCCAAATGTGTATTGTAAAACAATCAAATTATAAAGAGTTCATATATACTATATATTAAATGGTGTATGTTTTTATAATAAAACAATAAAAATGGAATTATCATTATTTTTCCAAACATCTTGTAGTGCTTTTAATCAATTTGATCAGGTGAGAGAATCATAAATATATCTGATGAGTTGAGGGGACTGGAGATGTTGTTTGGTTTTTTCCTCCTTCATGGTCAAGGTGAATATAATAAACAACTTTGTCCCTGTATGTTGATTTGGAATATCCCCGGCAATGTATTTGTTTTTTTTTCATTATCCACGGAGGGTGAAAGATTTGTAAAGTATCAATAAATTGATACGAAAGTGAATAAATTAATAAATAAAATAAGAATAGAAGAATTTATAAAAATACATAAATACCAAAATATTAAAATTAATAGAGAAATAAATGATAATAAAGCATATTAGCGTTAGATTGAGGTTAGAATTTCCTAACTTCCTAATATAGTTGTTTCACGCAAAAGGACTTGTAGCATCACTATTATTTTTGGAGTTAAAGCAGCAATACCTCCTCTATACCCACATGCACACTGCACACACTCATTTACATGTCCACAAAACTATATAGTCTTCTTGTTGTTGTTGAAAATGTATTGATAGAGATTGAGATATAAGATGCATGGCGGACAAAGCTGATTCTGAATTGATAGACAGATCAGAAAACCAAAAGCTTGTCCGCCCGAACAGGGACTTGAACCCTGGACCCTCAGATTAAAAGTCTGATGCTCTACCGACTGAGCTATCCGGGCTCCGCATTCCACTGTCGCTAAAAAGGTTTTAATTCCAATCTGTGAAATGGGCAACTATTTGCTATTGATATTGGAAGTATCACGTAACGTTAATACAAGTCGTTAAAGTCGACTGGTTCCTTTTTGTGGGGTTAAAGACAACAGGCGAATGATTAAATTAATTTAGGTGAGATCACTGCTCTACGGGAGAAACCATTATCACTTCCATGTTGTCATTATTGCAGTTTAACATTAATTTGTTTGACAAAGCGTTTAGCTTTTATCGAAAAGAAAGGTATTGCTCGAAGGGGGAGAGAAAATGTGAGAATTGAGACAAACTAAAATAAATGGAGTTAAAATAAAATGAACCCCAATTGATATTATATTATGAACACAAATGTAAATGTGTTTTAGCTACTAAGATTGTTTGTTTGGAGCTTTGAAAGAAGATGATGTATTTTTAGGAAACTGGTATCGCAACCAAAACGTGAGTTGACGGCGATGAAAAATACTGTCCGCCCGAACAGGGACTTGAACCCTGGACCCTCAGATTAAAAGTCTGATGCTCTACCGACTGAGCTATCCGGGCGCTCTGTAGAATTACCCTACAATCTTGTATATAAACATATCACATATACTCGGGGTTTTCAGGAAGCGGAAGTAGTGGAACCTCTCGTCATGCTCATAGCATTTTGTCTCCCACGGGCTAACCACGGCTAGTCGTTAGCTATGTTTATGCTAGTTTAGCCTAGCATTGACTCTCCCGGTGAGTTATTAAAGTCAAACCATTATGACAACATTTTTTTATCAAATTCGGGCGCAACTGGTGACCTATTTTTCGTGAAAATGTCATTGTATAGTCTCGCTGCGAAAAGCTCATGTCGTTGCGTGTCAATAACAATCACTCGTCTTTCATTTAACCTGTTAAAAAACTATGGACATTCAGTAGCAAACGTGGATAACATCCACAAAAGAAACAACTTCCTGCCGAACTACACCACAAACGTAACGCGTCTGTTGAGCTCCAAACTGCACCACTCACAGGTAGAATAAAGACCAATGGTTATTATTTCAATGGCAGCCCGTTTGTTCTGTGGTCAATGCAGATAATTGACATGGCTGTCTCGTTACTTTGTTTCCTTTATTAGGTACCAGAGGTTCCTACATGGGAGCAAATACCAGAGGACCAGCTTCCTCCGGTAAGACCCTCATGACTGGTTCAGGGGCGTCGAGACTAAATCACACAATGAATATAAACAAAACATGATGGTAGAGTCTATAATAAAGACCAAAGGTCAAATTCTGGGGCATACTTCCAGAGAGTGTTTTCTGATTAGAAATTAGTGGATGTAATAACTTGTTTTAACTTGACAGCCTACCCATATCCCTGCTGATCTGGTGGACAAACTGGAGCGACTGGCCTTGGTGGATTTTCGCACCAAACAGGGCCTGGCCTGTTTGGAGAAGGCTATACGATTTGCAGATCAGCTTCACGTTCTTGACACGTCAGGGGTTGAACCGATGGATTCAGTTCTGGAGGACAGGTATGGTACGGACAGTTAATGTGAAACACTGACGTCTGCATGCAGGCTTTTTTCTCCCAGTTATATCCAAATAGAGTTATATATGTGAAAAGCCGGTGTTACTGATGCGATTATGTTTTGTCCATCCACATTCAGGGCATTGAAACTGAGGGATGATGCCGTAACGGAAGGAGATTGTGCTGAAGAACTGCTTCAGCTCTCCAAAAACACAATTGAAGAATATTTTGTGGCACCACCAGGTAAGGAAACAGTCTGAATACATTTATTTTGAAACAATGGTGTTGATTTCCAGATTAATGAGATGATATATAAATACAACTATAATTTTAAAAAACGAAATTAAGCCTCAGTGCCTGCTTTCTTACGGGCATACACTTACTGTGGTATATATGCACCTCCCAGGAGTAGTTATACTACCATCCTTACTTTATATCTCATCTTTTGTTATTAATATAATACTGCTGTCTGCGCTTATACATGTACTTTATAAGGAGGCATCTACGTATTTTAGCATTTTCAATTCATTCAATAGACTCAAGGTGATATCCTGCCATGACAAAGTTGACTCCTTTCATATGTAAGTGTGAAGATCCTCCATATATGCTTTATATGTTTTTCTCCTCGCAGGAAATATCCCTCTTCCAAAGAGGGAGGAGAGGGCCACCATGCTGAAACAGTCCGAGTTATAAAGTGTATCTTTGGTCTAAACTAAAAACATCTGCATTCATTTAGATTTGTTATTTTTCAATTTCATTTGACTGTTTTGACATTATTGATAAATCCTGTTTTAGTTTCAGTATCATTTTATTAAAAAGTTTAGTGAGGAGGGAGATAGACTGCAATCGCAGTGCATTGTTTCAATTAGGGATTTACATTATGATCTCAACAGTGTGTCCTATTTTCATTCTAGTATTATTTAACTTGAATAAAAAACAAAAATAATACTTCATTCCTACCGTTCTTTGTTTCTGTTTTGTTTTCCAAACCAAATGTGATATCATATCTGTGTCATGAAATAGATCATGACGTGTCGGCCAGGTATCGGGTGTGACCTGTAAACTCGTCATACACCTCAAGGCTTTCACGTGACGAAAACAATACAACAGCAGAGTCATGTTGGGAGAATAGAAACCGAAAGTTGTAGAGGCATGAAAAGGGAAAACGAATCTTAACTAAAGGGGAGGGTGTCGATCAGCTGAGGCAGACTATATAAACAGAGGAGACAGCTGCTCGAGCACATCGTTGTTTCTCCCTCAACTCGGACTGCAGCTCTCCACAGGAATCTGATAAAGTTTTTACAAGGTAAGAATCTGTCTTTGTCTGCGCTGCGATGAAACACTTTATGTCAAGTGGACTTTCTTTTGAAGTAGATGTATCATATTAATATAAATAAATGATGTTTCAGATCTCTCCCACGATGGATTTAACCATCGTTATGCTGAACGGGACATCCCACAACATGCATGTGGACCACCAGGACACGGTGGGCTCTCTGAAAAAACAAATCCAGCAGAAACTGGGAGTCGCCTACGAGACCCAGAAGCTGGTCTTCACAAACGGCACCAGCACCCACCTCAACGACAACTCGAAGCCCATCAGCCACTACGGCTTGGGCCCCGGGGCCCGGGTGTCCCTCCTGGTGACGCAGCCTGAGACCATCCAGGTGTTCCTCAAAAACGAAAAGGGGAAGTTGACCACCTATGACATCGGACCCAGCGAGACCGTGGGCTACTTCAAGAGCCGGGTGAAGGCCCGAGAGGGGGTCCCGAAGAACCAGCAGAGGCTCATCCACCAGGGCCGAGAGATGTCACAGGACCAGAGTAAACTGTCCGACTACGGCGTCCAGGCGACGAGCACCATCGACCTGTCTTTCCGCCTGAGAGGTTGAGGACACTTGTGGTTCATTTGTTTCCAGTTCGTTTTCTGAACATTCCTCCATTGGATTTAAATTAAACATTTAACTTTGAATTCCTCTTCTTTATTATTTATTTGTATTTTCTTTTGAAAACCCATTGCATTCCTCAATGCTGTATTCTGTAGCATCTCAGGCAGTTGTTTAGGCTTTATTTGTTATTGAGCAGTTCAAATATATTATTCAGACAGCATTATGATTACTGGACACTGTTAAAAACTAATAAAAGTGACTTTCAATTACCAAATTGCACGTCTCCTCACGTTTCCTGTAAGCATATCATTTCATATCACAAAATCAATAAATGTTGAAATAAACAAATACAAAAATATTTAATTCAATAGAGAAATAAATGGTAACAAAGCATATTAGCGTTAGCATACAACAAACCAATGTATAAAAAAATGTAGCTATAGATGCAATGATCCGTGTAGGTTGATATTTTAAAAAGAAATGCATCTAACAATAACAGTTTGCTTGCATTAATGGTTAATGTTCCAACAAAGCAACACTTGTTAATGATTTTTATTAATATTGTGATGTCTCGAGAGGTCGGAACCATCAGGTGAGGCATGGATGCACTAAAAAAGACCGACAATAATTCAAAAAATAATGTTTTGTATTCATTCCAAAAAAAAGTCAATTTAAATCCGACAAAAACGTCGCTACAAAAAAATCGACATAAACTCTTTTCTTTTTTTCCATATTCCTCCTCGGTAACGTCGCGCCCCCAACTCCCGTCTCCCGACCCTTTCTCTTTTTCAACCACCTCCGGGGCAATCGCAACCCAGTCTCACAGCAAAACGTGTAATAGCTACGTTGTGGAACGTGGTATTCTCACGCTTCTGGGAAGAAAGCGTGAAAATACAACGTTTCGTTTGCAACTAGGTCACGTGACTATCAACTCTCCCTCAACTAAAAAAAGAGAATGGCGGAGTGTCGGTCTACTATCTGTGAAAAACACAATATTTTAAGAAAGCATCAGCATTTGTATGCATTTCGATGGCATTTCTAGCGAGAAGTATGCGTTATATTTTCATAATCTTCTATCAGAGAATGTAGAAGACCTTTCGTTTATTAGTTTCTAGTGGCGTAGTTGCAAGGCAATGTAAATGAATGGGCCAAAATAAAAAGTAGTATTGTCACAATTTTGGGAATAAAGCGTGAGAATACCACGTTCCACAACGTAGCTATTACACGTCTTGCTGTGAGACTGGGTTGGGCAGTCAGCATCATTCCGAGGGACCAGAAATGGCCCACAGGGCCTCCGCATTCCCATGGTTCCGGCCAGCCATGTGAACAACACAAGAGACAAACGCTTGGAGGCTGAGAAACCACCTTGTTACCCGACTGTTGGTTTCCTTATTCCTTGCCATCCACTGCAAAAGCGCACGGTCTGTGATTACTGTGAATTTCCGCCCAATGAGGTAATAGCAAAGGGTTTCGAGGGCCCACTTAACTGCCAGACATTCTTTCCCCAGTGCCGAGTACCTTTTCTCATGAGGCCATCGTTTTTTTCTGCTGCTGTGGAGGACGGGGTGCTCTTCCCCCTGCTGCTCCTGGGAGAGTACCGTCCCCAGCCCTACCTCTGAGGCGTCCGGCTGCACCACAAACTCCTTCTTTAAGACTGGAACACAAGGCTTTCTAGAGGCTCCTGAAGGCCTCCTCTGCCTTCTGCGACCACATCATCATGCGGGGGTTGACTTTTAGCAGTTAGGTCTGTTAGGGAGGCAACAAGATCAGAGAAGTTGGGAACAAAGCGCCTGTAGTAGTTTGCCAGCCCTATAAAATATTTCACCTGTCTCTTTGTAATAAGACGTGGCCAGCCTTGGATGGCCCTCAGTTTGCCCTCTTGCGGTTCGACCAGGCCCCGCCCTATTTTCCACTATACGCTAGCCTACACCTGCTGGGTTTAGCTGTGAGACCTGCTTCGCGAACGGCCTCGAGCACCATACCTGTGGTAAATGATTTTCCCACTCAGTGCTACGTATTACAGTGTCACCTAAGTGGGCTGCAGCATAATCCTTCCTCGTCTACACGTTACCATTTATTCAATAGACTCAAGGCGATATCCTGACATGACAAAGTTGACTCTTTTCATGTGTAAATGCGAAGATCCTTAACTACTGTTTGTTTTTCTCATCGCAGGAAATATCCCTCTTCCAAAGAGGGAGGAGAGGGTCATCATGCTGAAACACTCAGTTATGAAGGGTATTTTTGGTCTGAACTAAAACATCTGCATTCATTTAGATTTGTTGTTTTTCAGTTTCATTTGACTGTTTTGACAGTATTGATAAATCCTGTTTTGGTTTCAGTATAATTTTTTTAAAGTTTAGTCAGCAGGGTGATTCACTGCTACAGAATAATTACCAGTTTTGTTTTTAATGACCGGCACCAACAGAACAGACAGCATTGAGTCTGGTAACAAGCCATGAGTCATGAGGCCGGTAAGACAACTGGCAAGAAGAGGACCTGTCCTCGGAGTTGCATATTTAAGATGTTCAGCAGTAATATGGTCTAAACCACTTGCTTTGCCATCAGGCAGCTTATTCATTGCTTGCTACACCTCTTGTGAGTTTGTGTTAAGGCTTTAAACACACACTAAATGGGTTTGGTTCTTCTTCCTTCAGTGTGATAATATTTACCTCTCATATGTTTGTGTCCGCTGTGCGTCGGGCTTGACAACACCCTCGAACTATGACATTACTTGACGATAAAGTGCAGCCTCTCGTACCTTATTGCTTAACTATAATGAAAACAAACAAAATAAAGCCTCCATGCCTGCTTGCTTACAGACATACAATTACTGTACTATATATTGTTGTGGAGTATTTCAATAAACTAGTTCGGGAGAAGAGAATGATTTCTTTTAATGTTTATCTAATAAAAAAACAGGCTTGACGAATGATCAATGTTGCAAACGTCAATTTATTGCTTGCAAGCAGGAGGTCAAATACACAGCGGTCAAAACGTCGAGCTCCTATACACACACACACGGAGGTCATCCTCAGTGGCGGCGGATCCTAAAGACCACATGGGAGATGGCAGATATGAAACCTGCGAACCAAGTAGAGATATGAACCAAGGGTAAGATGGTGTAACAGTTTGTTGGAGCGTCTGTGTGAGAGCAAGTTGACCTCCTTCAGACAAAGCTGCAAACGGAAACCTTGAATCATTCTGCTTTTCTCACGTTACTACAACACAGACAATTACCCCTCTATTAGCATAAAACTATGTTATAACATATTTTACCATTACAATATGTCCCTCTCAGGCATATTCATACTACCATCCTTACTGTATATCTCACCTTTAGTTTATTAAAGCAATGAGAGGCTGCACTTTATCATCCAACAACAGTTCGGGGCGTTGTTCGGCCCTCGATAAAGATAAAGAACTGCCTCAAGTACCGTGTTGCTTTTATAATACGGTTACCAGCGAAGTTATAAATAGTAAGTAAAAAGCTTCCTTTCAGCACAAAATAGCAGTAGCCACCAAACGTTGTGTATCTCATTTCAGTAGTCTGGAGAGAAAATAGTCCCCGTGGGTGCGTGTAAACAGCATCGAGTCCCGCAGCATCTCATTCCTCCACATCGCTCATCACGTCCACCTTAATTTTCCGGTTGCGAAAGCTCGCATTGCTCGAAACCGATCATTTGTGAGATTTCCGTTTTTTTCCGGCGATTTGCCACCGAGCTAAAAGCTCAAATGTAAACTAACGGTCGCGCAAAATCTAACCTGCTACTTTGAGTGCGCAGTGATACGGAACGCTCGGGTCAATGTGAACACATACTGTGCATTTACTCGCTCTCAACCAATCAGAACGCTGGATTTCATCTACCCGCATTATAATAATGTGTATACTGCTGTCTGCACTTAAACATGTACTTTGTGATGAGGCATCTACATATTTTAGCATTTCCTCATCAAAAAAAGGCAATTTATTCCATAAACTCAAGAAGATATCCTCCAATAACAAAGTTGACTCTTTTTATATGTAAATGCGAAGATCCTTAAATAGTGTTTAAGGAGAGGGCCACCATGCTGAAACACTCAAGAGTTATAAAGTGTATTTTTGGTCTAAACTAAAAACCTCTGCATTCATTTAGATTTGTTATTTCTCAGTTTCATTTGACTGTTTTGACAGTATTGATAAGACCTTTAGTTTCAGTATATTTTTAAAAAATGTTTAGTCAGTAGGGTGATTCACTGCAATGGCAGTACATTGTTTAAATGAGGGATTTACATTATGATCAACAGTGTGTCCTATTTTCATTTTAGTATTATTTAACTTGAATAAAAAACAAAATAATGCTCCATTCCTACCGTTCTCTGTTTCTGTTTTGTTTTCCAAACAAAATGTGATATCATATCTGTGTCATAAAATAGATCATGACGTGTGGGCCAGGTATCGGGTGTGACCTGTAAACTCGTCATACACCTCAAGGCTGTTACGAGTTCAAACCAATACAACAGCAGAGTCATGTTGGGAGAATAGAAACCGAAAGTTGTAGAGGCATGAAAAGGGAAAACGAATCTTAACTAAAGGGGAGGGTGTCGATCAGCTGAGGCAGACAATATAAACAGAGGAGACAGCTGCTCGAGCACATTGGTTGTTTCTCCCTCAACTCGGACTGCAGCTCTCCACAGGAATCTGATAAAGTTTTTACAAGGTAAGAATCTGTCTTTGTCTGCGCTGCGATGAAACACTTTATGTCAAGTGGACTTTCTTTTAAAGTAGATGTATCATATTAATATAAATAAATGATGTTTCAGATCTCTCCCACGATGGATTTAACCATCGTTATGCTGAACGGGACATCCCACAACATGCGTGTGGACCACCAGGACACGGTGGGCTCTCTGAAAAGACAGATCCAGCAGAAACTGGGAGTCGCCTACGAGACCCAGAAGCTGGTCTTCACAAACGGCACCAGCACCCACCTCAACGACGACTCGAAGCCCATCAGCCACTACGGCTTGGGCCCCGGGGCCCGGGTGTCCCTGCTGGTGACGCAGCCTGAGACCATCCAGGTGTTCCTCAAAAACGAAAAGGGGAAGTTGAGCACCTATGACATCGGACCCAGCGAGACCGTGGGCTACTTCAAGAGCCGGGTGAAGGCCCGAGAGGGGGTCCCGGAGAACCAGCAGAGGCTCATCCACCAGGGCCGAGAGATGTCACAGGACCAGAGTAAACTGTCCGACTACGGCGTCCAGGCGACGAGCACCATCGACCTGTGTTTCCGCCTGAGAGGAGGTTGAGGACACTTGTGGTTCATTTGTTTCCAGTTCGTTTTCTGAACATTCCTCCATTGGATTTAAATGAAACATTTAACTTTGAATTCCTCTTCTTTATTATTTATTTGTATTTTCTTTTGAAAACCCATTGCATTCCTCAATGCTGTATTCTGTAACATCTCAGGCAGTTGTTTAGGCTTTATTTGTTATTGAGCAGTTCAAATATATTATTCAGACAGCATTATGATTACTGGACACTGTTAAAAACTAATAAAAGTGACTTTCAATTATCAAATTGCACGTCTCCTCACGTTTCCTGTAAGCATATCATTTCATATCACAAAATCAATAAATGTTGAAATAAACAAATACAAAAATATTTAATTCAATAGAGAAATAAATGGTAACAAAGCATATTAGCGTTAGCATACAACAAACCAATGTGAACAAAATGTAGCTATAGATGCAATGATCCGTGTGGGTTGATATTTTAAAAAGAAATGCATCTGACAATAACAGTTTGCTTGCATTAATGGTTAATGTTCCAACAAAGCAACACTTGTTAATGATTTTTATTAATATTGTGAGGTCGGAACCATCAGGTGAGGCATGGATGCACTAAAAAAGACCAACAATAATTCAAAAAATTAATGTTTTGTATTCATTCCAAAAAAAAGTCAATTTAAATCCGACAAAAACGTCGCTACAAAAATATCGACATAAACTCTTTTCTTTTTTTCCATATTCCTCCTCGGTAACGTCGCGCCCCCAACTCCCGTCTCCCGTCCTTTTCTCTTTTTCAACCACCTCCGGGGCAATCGCAACCCAGTCTCACAGCAAAACGTGTAATAGCTACGTTGTGGAACGTGGTATTCTCACGCTTCTGGGAAGACAGCGTGAAAATACAACGTTTCGTTTGCAACTAGGTCACGTGACTATCAACTCTCCCTCAACTAAAAAAAGAGAATGGCGGAGTGTCGGTCTATTATCTGTGAAAAACACAATATTTTAAGCAAGCATCAGCATTTGTATGCATTTCGATGGCATTTCTAGCGAGAAGTATGCGTTATATTTTCATAATCTTCTATCAGAGAATGTAGAAGACCTTTCGTTTATTAGTTTCTAGTGGCGTAGTTGCAAGGCAATGTAAATGAATGGGCCAAAATAAAAAGTAGCATTGTCACAATTTTGGGAATAAAGCGTGAGAATACCACGTTCCACAACGTAGCTATTACACGTCTTGCTGTGAGACTGGGTTGGGCAGTCAGCATCATTCCGAGGGACCAGAAATGGCCCACAGGGCCTCCGCATTCCCATGGTTCCGGCCAGCCATGTGAACAACACAAGAGACAAACGCTTGGAGGCTGAGAAACCACCTTGTTACCCGACTGTTGGTTTCCTTATTCCTTGCCATCCACTGCAAAAGCGCACGGTCTGTGATTACTGTGAATTTCCGCCCAATGAGGTAATAGCAAAGGGTTTCGAGGGCCCACTTAACTGCCAGACATTCTTTCCCCAGTGCCGAGTACCTTTTCTCATGAGGCCATCGTTTTTTTCTGCTGCTGTGGAGGACGGGGTGCTCTTCCCCCTGCTGCTCCTGGGAGAGTACCGTCCCCAGCCCTACCTCTGAGGCGTCCGGCTGCACCACAAACTCCTTCTTTAAGACTGGAACACAAGGCTTTCTAGAGGCTCCTGAAGGCCTCCTCTGCCTTCTGCGACCACATCATCATGCGGGGGTTGACTTTTAGCAGTTAGGTCTGTTAGGGAGGCAACAAGATCAGAGAAGTTGGGAACAAAGCGCCTGTAGTAGTTTGCCAGCCCTATAAAATATTTCACCTGTCTCTTTGTAATAAGACGTGGCCAGCCTTGGATGGCCCTCAGTTTGCCCTCTTGCGGTTCGACCAGGCCCCGCCCTATTTTCCACTATACGCTAGCCTACACCTGCTGGGTTTAGCTGTGAGACCTGCTTCGCGAACGGCCTCGAGCACCATACCTGTGGTAAATGATTTTCCCACTCAGTGCTACGTATTACAGTGTCACCTAAGTGGGCTGCAGCATAATCCTTCCTCGTCTACACGTTACCATTTATTCAATAGACTCAAGGCGATATCCTGACATGACAAAGTTGACTCTTTTCATGTGTAAATGCGAAGATCCTTAACTACTGTTTGTTTTTCTCATCGCAGGAAATATCCCTCTTCCAAAGAGGGAGGAGAGGGTCATCATGCTGAAACACTCAGTTATGAAGGGTATTTTTGGTCTAAACTAAAACATCTGCATTCATTTAGATTTGTTGTTTTTCAGTTTCATTTGACTGTTTTGACAGTATTGATAAATCCTGTTTTGGTTTCAGTATAATTTTTTTTAAAGTTTAGTCAGCAGGGTGATTCACTGCTACAGAATAATTACCAGTTTTGTTTTTAATGACCGGCACCAACAGAACAGACAGCATTGAGTCTGGTAACAAGCCATGAGTCATGAGGCCGGTAAGACAACTGGCAAGAAGAGGACCTGTCCTCGGAGTTGCATATTTAAGATGTTCAGCAGTAATATGGTCTAAACCACTTGCTTTGCCATCAGGCAGCTTATTCATTGCTTGCTACACCTCTTGTGAGTTTGTGTTAAGGCTTTAAACACACACTAAATGGGTTTGGTTCTTCTTCCTTCAGTGTGATAATATTTACCTCTCATATGTTTGTGTCCGCTGTGCGTCGGGCTTAACAACACCCTCGAACTATGACATTACTTGACGATAAAGTGCAGCCTCTCGTACCTTATTGCTTAACTATAATGAAAACAAACAAAATAAAGCCTCCATGCCTGCTTGCTTACAGACATACAATTACTGTACTATATATTGTTGTGGAGTATTTCAATAAACTAGTTCGGGAGAAGAGAATGATTTCTTTTAATGTTTATCTAATAAAAAAACAGGCTTGACGAATGATCAATGTTGCAAACGTCAATTTATTGCTTGCAAGCAGGAGGTCAAATACACAGCGGTCAAAACGTCGAGCTCCTATACACACACACACGGAGGTCATCCTCAGTGGCGGCGGATCCTAAAGACCACATGGGAGATGGCAGATATGAAACCTGCGAACCAAGTAGAGATATGAACCAAGGGTAAGATGGTGTAACAGTTTGTTGGAGCGTCTGTGTGAGAGCAAGTTGACCTCCTTCAGACAAAGCTGCAAACGGAAACCTTGAATCATTCTGCTTTTCTCACGTTACTACAACACAGACAATTACCCCTCTATTAGCATAAAACTATGTTATAACATATTTTACCATTACAATATGTCCCTCTCAGGCATATTCATACTACCATCCTTACTGTATATCTCACCTTTAGTTTATTAAAGCAATGAGAGGCTGCACTTTATCATCCAACAACAGTTCGGGGCGTTGTTCGGCCCTCGATAAAGATAAAGAACTGCCTCAAGTACCGTGTTGCTTTTATAATACGGTTACCAGCGAAGTTATAAATAGTAAGTAAAAAGCTTCCTTTCAGCACAAAATAGCAGTAGCCACCAAACGTTGTGTATCTCATTTCAGTAGTCTGGAGAGAAAATAGTCCCCGTGCGTGCGTGTAAACAGCATCGAGTCCCGCAGCATCTCATTCCTCCACATCGCTCATCACGTCCACCTTAATTTTCCGGTTGCGAAAGCTCGCATTGCTCGAAACCGATCATTTGTGAGATTTCCGTTTTTTTCCGGCGATTTGCCACCGAGCTAAAAGCTCAAATGTAAACTAACGGTCGCGCAAAATCTAACCTGCTACTTTGAGTGCGCAGTGATACGGAACGCTCGGGTCAATGTGAACACATACTGTGCATTTACTCGCTCTCAACCAATCAGAACGCTGGATTTCATCTACCCGCATTATAATAATGTGTATACTGCTGTCTGCACTTAAACATGTACTTTGTGATGAGGCATCTACATATTTTAGCATTTTCTCATCAAAAAAGGCAATTTATTCCATAAACTCAAGAAGATATCCTCCAATAACAAAGTTGACTCTTTTTATATGTAAATGCGAAGATCCTTAAATAGTGTTTAAGGAGAGGGCCACCATGCTGAAACACTCAAGAGTTATAAAGTGTATTTTTGGTCTAAACTAAAAACCTCTGCATTCATTTAGATTTGTTATTTCTCAGTTTCATTTGACTGTTTTGACAGTACTGATAAGACCTTTAGTTTCAGTATATTTTAAAAAAATGTTTAGTCAGTAGGGTGATTCACTGCAATGGCAGTACATTGTTTAAATGAGGGATTTACATTATGATCAACAGTGTGTCCTATTTTCATTTTAGTATTATTTAACTTGAATAAAAAACAAAATAATGCTCCATTCCTACCGTTCTCTGTTTCTGTTTTGTTTTCCAAACAAAATGTGATATCATATCTGTGTCATAAAATACATCATGACGTGTGGGCCAGGTATCGGGTGTGACCTGTAAACTCGTCATACACCTCAAGGCTGTTACGAGTTCAAACCAATACAACAGCAGAGTCATGTTGGGAGAATAGAAACCGAAAGTTGTAGAGGCATGAAAAGGGAAAACGAATCTTAACTAAAGGGGGGGGTGTCGATCAGCTGAGGCAGACAATATAAACAGAGGAGACAGCTGCTCGAGCACATTGGTTGTTTCTCCCTCAACTCGGACTGCAGCTCTCCACAGGAATCTGATAAAGTTTTTACAAGGTAAGAATCTGTCTTTGTCTGCGCTGCGATGAAACACTTTATGTCAAGTGGACTTTCTTTTAAAGTAGATGTATCATATTAATATAAATAAATGATGTTTCAGATCTCTCCCACGATGGATTTAACCATCGTTATGCTGAACGGGACATCCCACAACATGCGTGTGGACCACCAGGACACGGTGGGCTCTCTGAAAAGACAGATCCAGCAGAAACTGGGAGTCGCCTACGAGACCCAGAAGCTGGTCTTCACAAACGGCACCAGCACCCACCTCAACGACGACTCGAAGCCCATCAGCCACTACGGCTTGGGCCCCGGGGCCCGGGTGTCCCTGCTGGTGACGCAGCCTGAGACCATCCAGGTGTTCCTCAAAAACGAAAAGGGGAAGTTGAGCACCTATGACATCGGACCCAGCGAGACCGTGGGCTACTTCAAGAGCCGGGTGAAGGCCCGAGAGGGGGTCCCGGAGAACCAGCAGAGGCTCATCCACCAGGGCCGAGAGATGTCACAGGACCAGAGTAAACTGTCCGACTACGGCGTCCAGGCGACGAGCACCATCGACCTGTGTTTCCGCCTGAGAGGAGGTTGAGGACACTTGTGGTTCATTTGTTTCCAGTTCGTTTTCTGAACATTCCTCCATTGGATTTAAATGAAACATTTAACTTTGAATTCCTCTTCTTTATTATTTATTTGTATTTTCCTCAATGTAGGCTGCTGTATTCTGTAACATCTCAGGCAGTTGTTTAGGCTTTATTTGTTATTTGGCAGTTTAATTATATTATACACACAACACAGTTCTATGATTACTGGACACTGTTAAAAACTAATAAAATTGACTTTCAAATGTCAAATTGCACGTCTCCTCACATTTCCTGCCTATCATTTCCTCTGCTCGGGGGTGGAGCTGTACTCTGTACAGAACAAAACCAGAAGGAACCAGAAAAGGCACACATTTTTTTTAAATGCACATTATTTCAGTTATTAAGAAACTTTCTCAATCATATAATTAAATGTTTAAATTACTTATCCTGAGAATGTGTTAGGGCTCTGTAAAAAATAAATGTATTATGGTATGTAATTACAAAAATAATTATTTTCTGATAGCTTAAACTAGAATTAAATAAGTCTACTGTATTTGAGAATTATTGTCCATTACATACACAGTAGTACAGTAAACAGCCAAATGCTGAAGCCACAGTGAAGACGTTGTTTTCTCCAGATTAGTTTTCAGTGAAGAGATCTAGGGGAGGTTCATTTCCTCACTGACGCAAGGTAGGCGTACCAAAACAAGGCCACCACGTTGGCAAACAGCACTCTGAACTGCAAGCAAAAAGAGGCAGGAAGAGACAGCGTTAATCATTAAGTAGCGCCGCTATGTGACTCAACATTTGGTCAATGACGGGATGCCAGTGAAACGTACCTGAACAGGCACAAAGTTGATGTTGATAAACTGGAAGGGAGTCCACACTTTCCAGTTCATCTTTAAAGCAGTGCAGTAACTTCCTCTCATCTTCTTTTCAAAGTCTTTCCACCCTTTAGCCTGAATATAGATTGGGATGATTATATATTTACAATGATTTTTTTTTTTAATGTCCCTCGCAATCACCCCAACTTTATCCCAGTGAATTATCCAACCGTTGGAGTTCAATGAGGTGACAGGCGATGGAGTTTCTTAGATGACCTACCTCCAGGAGGTTCATAACAAAGTAGAAAATGAGCAGAAAGCCGGGGGCGAAAACAAGCCGATCCAGCAGCAGACGCTTTACTATGCAGAGCGGGTCAGTGCTGGGCACCCACACCTCCATCAGCTGGTAAAAGAAATGGCTCACGGGTCCCGTAATGACCAACCTGCAATAGACAGCAAGGAATAGTGTAACTATAGATTATTTGTATTGTATGCATTTTTACAAGGTTCTACACTCAAGTCTTTCTTTTTGTACATGAGCCATGGCTGGATGTCAACCCTGTATTTATTCTCACCCATAAATGGCGTAGCGCACAGCTCCAGCAGGGTCAATCTGACTGACCAGAGCTCCATTGTCGGCCTTTTTTCTGGCCTCCAAAATCTGAGACAGGAGATTTCCTAAAGCTGTCAGGATGCCACTGAAAGTATCAAGGACACACGAAGTACACAACTATCAATATGCATCGGGTACATTGACAGTGAGGTACTCCAATCGCATCAAATATGTGTCAAAAGCTCGTTAGGGGAGGTTTCATGGGCATGATGCTGATTGGCTGCCACAGAGCTGCAGCCTGTGGTCAAGACAAACAAAGTGACAACAGAGAAAGAACTGATAACAAATCAGTTACCGTGCATGAAACAGTAAGTAATAAACTGCACGTTTACTGTGCTTTAGTAGATTAGAACATTCATGACCGTCAAAGGGAAGAAAACAAAACAAAACAAGCACCAGTCTGCACAACAACTGACCGCTTGCAGTCGGTGAACAAGCGAAGCTACAGACCTCGTCACAGACTTAGTGAGGATGGGGTATTTCTTCAGAAGAACCAGATATTGTTGTAGTAAACGGATCTGAATGGACGCATTCCGCATCGGCAGGCTTTCCACAGGCATTATCAGATGTGTAACTGTACAAACATCACAACCACGGGACTAGCGGAACGGACAGCAGCGAAGTTTCTTTGAAAAAAAAGGGGCTGCCTCTTCCTGCCATCGGCATCGCGTCACGGCCGAAGCCACGCCCCTTCCTCTACTTTAACTAATGACAGCTGGGTCAAATATTTTATGAAGAATCATTTAGTTAACATAAGATCTTGTGGGTATATTAATTCATGAAAGTGCTCCTTAACCAATATTCTGGTTTCTGGAAATTAAATAGGATCCAGTGGCCGTGGTTGTGAAACAAAATGTAATGTCACTATATTGCATTAGAATTAAGTAAATTCAAATTATGCAAAAGCTAACTATCAAAACAACAGGTGTAGTAGAACAAGAACAATCCCATAGACATATGTCATGATTTTGGTGGTGCTACCATCCATACATACTACCAACGTCTTTGCTTAAAAAGCCTTATGCATTTAAATACGTCGTTTTTTTACAATAACTGATGCCTTTTTTGCCTCAAATCCACACAAAAGGACAAAGGGATCCTGAAACTGCAGTAGAACCTGGAAACAAACAACGATACGAGAGAAAGGGAGACGGTGTTAGATTAGGATTCACTGAGCAAATTTAGAGACAATATAAAACAACTTTTTGGAACCGCTTTATTAGAACCATTTTTACAATAAACAGTAAAAACAAAAAACAGAACAAAAAAATATTTACAATGAAACCGTTTGAAATAAAAGGCATTTATGAAATATTCAGTGTGTGGCAAAAGACATAGCAGCTTAAACGGCTGATAGGAACTGTAATAAAGAAATCTTTGCACATAGGAAACTGTAAAAGCTTATAAGTGTGTTTTGGTTGTAGGTCACCAACAAACATGTAGGAAAAATCTAAAATAAAATCTTAAAGTTCCTTCCAGTCTACTGGAGACTTTCCGGATTTCTTCAGCAGCTCGTTGGCCTTTGAGAAATGCTTGCACCCCAAAAATCCCCTATGACAAGACAAGGGAGAAGGATGCACAGTCTGCAGGATGTGGTGGCGCTTCTACAAAACAGAGAACACAGACACTTAGATGCAAGAAGGTTATACGAGGTCAACGTTTAAAACAAAGCACACCCACCCTGTTAATAGCAGCTCCTTTCTTCTGCGCATATGCCCCCCAAAGCATGAAGACCAGGCCTTCCAGGTTGTTGCTGAGCCACTGCACCACAGCGTCAGTGAAGGTCTCCCAGCCTTTGTCTTTGTGCGAGTTGGCCTGATGCGCTCGGACAGTTAACACAGCGTTGAGCAGCAACACACCTGTTGGGCGAGGTGACAGGTAAACACCGGTGACCTTTGTTGATGTGCAGACTTTTCTTCTGTTAAATACCTTGTCTGGACCATCCAGTCAGATCTCCATGTCCAGGGTGCTGAAAGCCTTCAATGTCCGACACCAGTTCTTTGTACATGTTCTCCAGACTAGATTGAAAAGCATCACGGGTGTGGTGAATATTTAAAGCTCGGCACATTATCCCAATTCAAGTTTGACGAGCTCACAGGCACAGGTGTTGAAAAGGTTTTAACCTGGGCGGAGGACGCACTGGTCTTTTGACGCTGAAGCACAACCCATGGGCTTGGTTAGGACCATGATATGGATCCTGGCCGAGAATCACCACTTTCACCTGCAATTAAGAGTGATTTGACAAATCGTATGAGTCTCACAGTACAGCCAAATTTGTGGGCACGACTCTTAAATTAGCAGGGGAAGGGGAGGGATATATAGATAGCAAGCAGCTTAACATACATGCACTCCAAAACTATATATATGTACACACACACACGCTCGCCTTAGCACATAGAAGGCTCCAAAAGAAGTTTGTCGACATACATCACAAAAGCTGAAGCATGATATGAGAGGCAAACAGACAAAACAAAAGCTTTCGTGTCAAATAGTCTCAAAATAACAGTGTGACAATCTTTAAAAAAAGGCAGTGATTGATTTTTATACCTTTCTGTTTTTTGGCATGTACACATTGTTGTTCACACAATTGTTCTCTTTATTCCATATAGCAGTTTCTAACTTTTGTTACAAATATTCTGACGTTTGTTCATGAAATGCATTTGACTTGGTCCCTGAATGTGGCCCTGCAGGTAAACTGACCTCTCGGATGTCACACGTCTGAGTCCAGGTGAAGACATTTTCGGCAGGTGGGTAAACCGTGAAGCGTTTCCTCTCTTCGGAAACTAAATCCATCAACTGTGGAAAGATATGAAGCTGTTTAAACTGTTCATATCCCACAGAGACAGCGTGACTACTTTCTCTCGCTCACTTGTTTGAAGTAGGCTTTCCCAAATTCCTCCGACAGCGCCTCTCTCCAGCTCTCTCCAAACCCCGCAGGCGTTTGAGCAAAAGCGAGTTTCTCCAGCGCGGATTTCTTGTTGCGGGCGATCTTGTCCATCTGCTCCCGGGAAAGAGGAGCAGGAGGCGGGCCGGACGGCTCGGACTCCCCCGCTGAGGACTTCAGCTTCTTCTGCAGAATTGAAGCGTTTTCAACAAAGTACACAGCTGGTGAGCAGCGCGCCGCTGGAGGCGAGACTGCCTTTAGAAAATGTCGACAGGGAAGTAGAAACATTTGTCGTTCTGTGGTAATTCGCTGTTCGCACCACTTTTGACAACGACCGAGAACACGTTCACGCGCAGTGCTGTTGAACGCAGCTTGGATCAAAATAGGACCGCGAGTTCTGTGAGTGGCGTTTTAATACTAACTTAATAACGTCAACGGTGTATAACAAAACGGGCTGGACATGTGTGTTATGTTGACTGTAGTCCGGTAGTGGGGACGCTCACCTGGTGTTTGGCATCCTCCTCGACTTCATTTAATTCCTTAGAAATTCTTTTCTTCGAAACAGGGGAGAAAAATGAGTTTATCGTTTTTTGTCCAATCATTTTGTTGAAAAACATGCAGTCGGAACGCTGCTGTAATCTAAATACGTTGAGGAATTAAGGTGTCAGCTAATGTAAGCGCGTATGGGCAGCAGACTCCTCCGAAAACTGTCTCACCGGAGTTAAAGTTTTCGCGCCAAAATAAATGACGACACAGAGATATGCTAATGAGCTAAGCGCCGTTCAAGACCAGCTGCTGCCGACTGGAGGTCTGCTATGCTATGCTAAACTAAGCTAAGCTACCTAGCTTACATCTAAGAGCAATATACGTTCTCCCAACTATTTCATGAGAAAGAGATGAAGAGATAAAGCTTTGTTTGTATATATTTTACATAGTTTTGAATAGATAGAACGGCTTAAATGTCTATTTAATAACTGTCTTAGGGAAACTGGGGTTTGCATTTTTTTTACATTATAGGGAAAGTGTGGAAATAGTTTACGATTAATAAAACAAATTAAATATTGTCCGTTGCAGCCTTGCCTTTTTATTTGTATTTTAACAGTGTAATAATAATAATTATCCACTCCATTCACTGCAGATTGACACTGAATATCTTTCTTTTTCACATTTATATGCAAAACCAGGGTTAAATTTCAATCTTTTTTGTATCATCCAGGTCTTTAAAAAATCCTAAAATTGAGGTCCCAAGACAGGCACAGGAGACGGTTACTGGAATGGAAAGTTTTCTGAATAGACCTTCTTGCGATAACAATAGCAGATGTCCACAGAAGAGAGTCAAACTGCAGAGTGACGAGGGGATGAAGCCCGGCGAGGTTGATGAGGAAGACGAGTTCTCTCATCCTGTTCCCTGGCAGAAAATCGAGTCGGAGGGACTAGACTGTGACTATGCTCTGCTGCTCTGCAAAGATGAAGCAGACAAGATGTTTAAACAGCTGGAGGAGGAGGTGGTGTATTCAACAGGTACAAAATCAAACTTTTTTTCCTGTATACGTTAGGACCAGAATTGTTGATGGACGGTGGCTGTTTATTGTTCCAGGGGAAGACGCAACGGTCCAGGTGTTTGGAAAGGTGCACAGTATACCAAGAAAGCAGGCCGCATACGGCGATGCAGGTCTGACCTACACTTACTCTGGAGTGACACGTTTAGCCTGCACCTGGACTCCAACCTTGGAATACATCAGGGATGTCGTCACGAACACAACCGGACAAACATTTAACTTCGTTCTGGTTAACCGGTGAGAAACAAGTTTTCAGATCAGGGTTTCATGTGTGTCTCCTTGATGATTGTGATCTCCCCCCTCCCCTCCCCTCCAGGTACAAAGATGGGCAGGATCACATGGGTGAGCATCGTGATGATGAGAAGGAGCTGGACCCCTTCTGTCCCATCGCCTCCGTCTCCCTCGGAGCAGCACGAGACTTAATCTTTCGGCACAGAGACGCTCGGGGAAAACGCGCCCACCGACAGATCAAACCCGTGAAGCTGGAGCTCGCGCACGGAAGCTTGCTACTCATGAACTCACCGACCAACACCTTCTGGTACCACAGCCTCCCTGTACGCAAAAAGATCTCCCTGCCTCGCATCAACCTCACCTTCAGACGCATCCTGCTGGAGAGAAAGAAGTGAGCGAGCGTACATTATCACGCGGGTCTTTGGGGCCGGCGTTCAAGAAGCTTTCAGACTGTGGGACCCAAATTCCTGATCGACAGGAGGACAAATCTACCGATTCTCAAAAAATCACTCTTTTACAGAATGCAGACTGACATTGTTCAGACTCAAATGTAAAAAGAATTGCTAACCTAGTAGTGCTCGGCTGTAAATGGTAAACCAAAAGATTATGTCAGCTGGCCCGTCAGCTTCAGGCTCTGGCACTAAGGAGCATTTACCCCTTTCAATGTTTTGTCTAAAATTAAAATATTTATTCATTGTTTGGGTGAAGGACACTTGAAGCATTGAGCTTTATCTTAAGCAAATCTGTTATCACATATCAGTCATTTCAAAAGCTACCAAATAAATACTCATTCCCCAGTTTGTTTTATTTTTTAATATCTGAAAACAAGTCATTTTTTTAGATTGCACAAAAATACACACAATCTCACCGGGATATACATTAGTGCAAATCGCAAACATTAATGAGTTTTGCACCAGGCCATTTCTAAATTTGACTGATTTGGTTTGGCCGGAGCGATGGCAGCTAAATAGATTTAAAATCATTCAAAAATACCAAAAACTAGTGACACTGTGGCTTTATTCACGCAGAGCTGATCATGATCTGTGCCAAATGGCTCTGACGAATCACATGAGTTGTCGCACACATTGGCTTTAAGTGTTACAACTCTTGATCATTAAATACAACATGGCACTTTAACCTCTACTCAGGTATACTGGCCTTGTCAGAATTCCAATAACTTTACATAAACTGCTTGAAATGATTAGGCAGATCTCCTTAGACAAAAGAGAACCGGAGGTAGGGGGAAATTCTAATTTAATTTAATATGTAACAACTTCCAAGAAACATCCCTAAGAATTCTCAATCCGCTTCTTTTGTATGTGTCTAATGTACAGGCAGGGGACAAAATGACAGGAACACCTTAAAGTATAATGTCTTTCAATTCACACCAACGTCTACAGTATCAGGAAAAGTCCAGAAAGTTGAGTAAACACTAAGATTCACACATGAACAATGCATTGCAGGACTAGAGAGACACTATATTGTTACGCGTTACGTTATTTTGTCCCACAGAAGGCAAATTGTTACACTTGCCAAAGAAGAGTAGTTTATGAAGACTAAAAATCCTGCATGTCCAAAATCTTTGGGATTGACTCATCTGTACGCAGATTTAGCACGTCATTTAATGACCTTTAATGCAAACTCTAGGAACGTTTCCTCTCCGGTCTCGCTGTCACAAAGTCATGATCCAACCGTCGGTAACCGCGTCGTCAGACTCAACGCTTTGACTGGAAAGGCAGAAGTCGGTCGGGCCGCGAGGTCGCCAGCTTCAGGTCACTCCTCCGAGTGGGGCGCCGGGTCGCGTCGTCGGACTCTCTCGTAGAAGAGCATGTAGGCGTTGGAAGAGAGCACCTCGTGCTGGCTGGCTTTTCGCACGGAGTCGTCTGAAACCCAGAGCCACTGGGAGCTGACGGGTGGAGCGGAGGGAGGTGACGTAGGGCCGCGGCGGTACGTGACAAAGTGTCCCGAGTGCATGTCGCCGTGGTGAACCAGCACGGCCGTGAGCTGGAACAAGTACTCCACAGAACTGGAAGGACGGGCGCCGCTGTGAGATGACGTGTAAAGGGAACAAAAACCATTTGACGACTGAGAAGCGGGATCTACGATGGTTGCTTGTATCGTTGCGGCGGGACACCAAGTTTACCTGTAGTCGTACGCGAGGCCGAGCAGCGGGGTCACACCAGGAGACGGAAGGAATACGGACGAACATGTTCCGTTGGAAAAAGGTTTGTTGTTGTTGTGCAGATCCTTTGCTTCTGGAAAAACCAAAATGAAGGAAAAAAAAAAATGATTACAAAAAAAAAACCGCGACCAGGAATGAAATGCCAGAGATTACAGAGACACATACCGGTGCCGTTGGTGGAAGGCTTCTCCGTGGCATCATCTGCGTTGTCGACATTCCTGGAGTTCGCAGCACATTTGATTCTCTGATTTCTGTGTGTGGAAGCTTTGTGTTTGTAGCGGTCCATCGACAGATGCTCCGTGAACTGCACGTGCTCCTGTCTTTTGATGGGCGTTCCTTCACTAGACCACGTCAGTCTTTGTAAATGGATACATAGGCACTGGGGGAGCTAGAAGGAGTAGGGAAATATTATATAGGGAAATAAAATACTAAATAGCCTTTTAGAACATAGGTCATCAAGTAATAGAAGTTTTAATGTTTCTAAAATGTTACAGAAACAAGCTGTAGGGGAGCGATTAACTTCTTGGCTGCTAATAGTGGCATATTATTGACTCTTACCTTTCCGAGTTTGAGCTGTTTAATGAATGTTGTCCTCTGGCTTTGCAAAACTTGGCCGTTTAATGCGTTTCCTTGTTGAAGCTGAGGTGAAATGATCCCAAATAGAAATGAAACAACATCAGCCAAATATCATCTTTGTACTAAAACATGGGAAGCCTTTTTGGTGTAAAATATAGGAAGTGATACGTATGTGGATGTAACTTGATGATGGTTTTATTACAAGAGCTTCCTGTCAATTGTTCTCTGTGACTTACATATTTAATAAAAAATGATCACCAGAAGTTGTTGAGAGAGATGCTGCAGTGAATGTACCTTGGTGCAGTTTCCACATTCTACTTCTTTGATGGTTTCAGAGGAGATGAAATGCTGAAGACACTGATCTAGAGAGATAGGTCTACCCTGAGGAAAAATATATATATTTTAAGAAGTGATAGTAGAATACATTTTACTATTCACATGTTGTTGATATTTTTGCTTACCCACTGAGGTAAAGGGATGGGGAGGGAGAGGCTCTCAAATGAGTCATACCGCACTGGACTCTAAACAAAAGCAAAGCAGAGGTATAAATCTAAAAGAAAAGTACCAAGTCAAACAACACAAAATAGCTTTGCGAATCTCATTTCTTAAAAAAAAGGAAAGAAAAAGAAAACACTGACTTGTTGTTCACAGCGCTTGCATGACATATTGCTTGTTAAACGCCCATGGAAAGGATGTGGAGACTTCCACGGACTTGGTATACAATGAAGAGGGGCTGCGAAATGAAAAATAAGTACAGTTGAAATACAATCCTTTGCGTTTGTATAATCTAGGCTCCACAGTTTCTTTGTCTCCTTACCGCGACTTCTGCAGATCATAGTTTTCTCAACTGGATCAGGGGGGCTCTGGTATAAAAAAACACCCAAGTGCACTAAAAATGTTAGTACAGAAACATATTTGTCATTTTTGACATTTCTACTCAAATAGAAATCGACTGGATTGATTAAAGCATGCAAGAAATATTTGTGTGTGGTTTGAGAAACAATGCAACTGGAGAGTCGATGACTTGCCTCAAGCGTCTGCATGTCAAACAAGTGAGCGACTTTGGGTTGACGATCCCGCTCCTCTTCCAGAGAAGATGTAAGGACGTGAAAAAGCTCATGCGCATCCTGAGAGTGGACAAACCAACACATCCAGACCACTCTTCAGACATGAATAAACGCTACAGCAAACGTTGTGCGTAGTAATAAACAAAACAGACCACTCAACAGGATTATGGACTAACCTGCTCTTCAAATGAACTGATGTGCCAGCGGTAAAGTCTTAGAACATCCAGGAGGCACCCGGCATCAAGAACATCTTCTTCCCCGGGCTGATCCCTGGACAGAGCTAACAATGCAAAAAAACATCTGTGTCACATGAAGGCGACCGAACGCCGTGTCCACCACGCTGCGGTGACGCGTCACGGTCATACATACCATTGAGAAGCTGAAGCAGCGTTGTGGACAGCTGGTTGTCCTTGCAGGACTGGATCATGGGGGAACCGGAGAAGATTTCCAGCCACCTGATGAACGACGGACATGCTGCCAAACCCTGAAGCAGAGAGTTCAGGAAGCAGGTGTTGCCTAAATTCAACAGACCAGGAACCATGCCTGAAAGAAAAGACGTTGTGAGTTTACCGCCCCACAGGAAACATTCTGTGTGTCACACTGTCATACAGATCCTTACCTCTCCTTTTCTTCTTTCTCTCCGTAATGGGGCCCCATAAAACGTATACGCCAGCTGCAACGGCAGCAGCTATCCCACCAATGACACCCCAGTTTTTTATCATCTTGCTCCTGAAAACACAAAAGTATTTGACTGAGCGGTGTTAAAGCAACGCTGTGGTCATCCAGGCGTTGTGCTTCCATAACTATTATACTTATACTGAGATTGTATCCTACCATTGTGGATATAAAAGTTGTGGGCAAAGTGTCAGCTAAACAACTCAATAAAAACGCAACACAATTCACCGGCAGTTTCTACAAAAACTGAACATTTGAAGCTTAATAATATTGAATAACCGTTGCAGGGCTGTTGTATATGACAGCTCAGTGTACCAATAACGCTGGCTTGCAGCTTTGTATTGTTATCTCTTGTATTATTCTGCCTATCATGATTGCATATTCTCTCCCATTAGGACACAGGCAAAACAAAACGTAATGTAACCCAAACTAAATGCTCTAATAATGTGACCCATCAAGCTTTTTTTTTTTAATCTGGTAAAACCACACACGACGCTACTTCAGATCCAGCAAAACCTCCTGACTCCACGTTAGCTTAAGCTGCAAGTGCCACAGGACTTAAAACTTGATATTGTAACTTGTTATTTGTTTTGTTGGTTACGTAATTGTGCAGCCGCATGATCCAACGCTAGTAAGCTAGTTAGGAACAATACTAAGCACCACCCGTTTATCAACGTGTAACGTTAACGCCACCCGAACGTATCGCATGTATTGAACGAGCTAGCTTTAGCATTACGGTTAACTTACCGACAACACCGAGGTTAGTCTGCCGTCGGCGTACTATGGCGCCTCATTTGATAAATATCCAAGCCATTGTGTTTCAACGCAGGGAACATTCCATCGTGCGCTATCGGTTGCAGGTTTTAAAGTTAAACCGGAGAACCTCGGTGTCAGTCTGACATCCTGCCTGCGCATGTTACACTTTGGGTCCAACTAACGGCGGCGTCATGACCCACTTTGCCCCTGACCCCGTGTACTATAAATAACCCCGAGTCGTCCTTTGCCAATGGAGACTTTTACCTGACTATGGGTCCAGTGCCAAGGAACTCCCCGACAAGCTTATCGGAGCTCTCCGGTCTCCACCACAACATCCTGCTTTCATTGCGGAACTCCCGTCTTCGGTGGCATGTTGCAGCACGGACCAGCTAAACAGCGCACTGAGGTGGTCACCGTTTTGTTCCAAGCACCTAAATGTTTGTTGCGCACATTTTTGAAGTCCAATCACTCCAAGCCGCTGACTGAGAATCAACATAATTGTTTAAAAAATAAATAAAACATTGAAATGATTGCGGCTATCAAACACGTCCCAAGATGATATTCTGATGACCAAACCCACTGTAGATTATTTATTGTCCAGCCTTGTATTTTTTTGAGATAACATTATAAATCTAAAATACATTTTCCTTATGATTATTCTTTTATTTTGGCCTATATTTGTATAACACGGCTTTCATTTCCATTATGTCCATTTGGGTGTTGACAAGTCCCGTGGAGGACCATTGTAATTACACATTGTCCATCCACCGTCCCTCTGCTGGTTTCCGTGCGGTGATCATAAGCTGTGACTCCCATTGGCTGCCGGAGCAGGTAGCTCTCCTCGGTGCTGAAATCGCTTCTCGTCCTGATAATGTAAACGGCGATGAGACGAAACGGAGCGCCTGCCAGCAAACACCAAAATGGACGATGATCTGTTCCAACTGAGACAGCTGCCGTGAGTTAACTTACGATCTGCACATTTCACGCCTTTTGTTGTTGTTGTATGCATTCAGCTGACGGCCGTAGGAAGCGTGTTCGACCGACGCGTCCTCTGACAGCCTCGCATTGTGCAGCGTCCATCGGGTTAGCTCTCTGGACCACAAATAGCTTGACATTCCTTAAAAGCCTCAGTCATTCAATTCCAACATCTATCCGTGAAATACCTGGGAATGCATCACGGGAATAATACCAAAAAAAAAATAACTTACGACATATTTGCCGGTGCAGTTGGTTTACAGATCAAAAGGTTTTGCATTTCCCAAGGAGACTATTTTGGTTTTATTTATTTATGGATTTGAAAGAGGTTTTGGTTTTCCATCTTGACTTGTATCTGTTTTTGCTGCCTTGACTCCATAGTGGGATTTATTTCAACCTCTGCTGCACATGTCCAGCTTAGCCATCATGAGGGACATTTCTCAAAGACATACAGTGGAATAATATAGAAAGTCTTCTTACAATAATTGCATGTAAAGTAACGGTACACACATTTTCTAAATCAAACAGCTAGAAAAAGAAAATAGGAAAAAGACTTTTATTATGGTTTCTTTTTGACAGTTTTGCTAGATACGTTCACAAAACAGAGATTTCTGGACATCTTGCAGGCTCATCTGCATCGCTGGTGCTTCCCATTGCAAGCCTATGTTATGTAATTACAGTGATTAAGACTTCACCAACACTTTTAGAGTTCTCTTCAATCTTAATGAACCATTAATTATCTGCATGTGGGAGAAGATTATATACCTTCCATCTGTAGATAACATCACTGGGTATTTAGGCTTTCTAAGCTTGCCAAGCAGTTAAGTGCAGTTTGCAGAGCTGTCAGTTGCCCTCAGGAGGATTTTACCACTCATTCAAAAAATCACAGGCGGAAGAAGATCACCTAGGCAACAGCCTTCAACTCAGATTTTTGAACTCAGCTCTGCCCTAGAACAATAACTGTGAAACTCGCCGATCAGATCTAATGCGGAGAAGTAATCCTCCTGGGCTTTCGACACACTTATTCTAATTGGGTTGTTTTTTTTGTAGTATCGTACGATTCCGTCGCACGGGGGAGAGCACACGCTCCGAGGACGATGGTGAGAGTAGAGAGCAGGCGTTCAGGATGGCGGAACAGACTGAACTGGAGTCTGTGGCACTTACAGACGGAGCTCCAGTTCCTCGGGAGTTTGCCAATCCAACTGATGGTACAGTATGACAGGGCTTTATTTTACACACCCTGTGACCCCTCTCCTTCCTGATAACATCCTCCGATATGTGCTGCTTTGAGCTCTAGAGAAGGTTTGCCTTTACTGATTTATCAAATACCCCTTTGAATAACATCCCCTCAGACACATTCATGGTAGAAGATGCCGTAGAGGCCATCGGCTTTGGGACATTTCAGTGGAAACTCTCCATCCTCACTGGTCTGTCCTGGGTGAGAACACTTCATTGTTGGAAAATACACCATTTCAGAGGGTGATGTCTAAGTTTGCAAGCTATAGAATGTGTCTCTGAGCTGTTTTCTGTTTGCTCAGATGGCTGATGCTATGGAGATGATGATCCTCAGCATCTTAGCCCCACAGCTTCACTGTGAATGGAGGCTTCCCAGACTTCAGGTGGCATTGCTTACATCGGTAATGGCTCTCTAATATCTTGATTGTTCTCACTTGCAACGCTGTGTGACTGTCCTGCTAAGGGATTGCTCATGTTGAGCAGTGACAACCATGTGGGAAATAATAGGGTGTGTAATGTAGTTCAATGCTTTGTGAGTTGCAATATTATTATTTGAATGGAAATCACAATTTAGTCAAGTGAGTATGATATAAAACAATAAGTAAACAGGGAACATTGAGTATAGTTTTACTAAAACCCTTGAAAGGCCTTAAATGGTGGACGTTTTTAATTGAGTAATTAGGGGCGCAAACGGTAAAAGATGCATGAAAGGATGCGCATAATATCAGCCTTGTCTTGTGAAACTATTATCATGTGTATTCAGACTGCTGCATCATATTAACATGTTTCTTTCCACTGGTGCAGGCAGTGTTCATTGGGATGATGATAAGCTCTTCTCTTTGGGGAAACATATCGGACAAATACGGCAGAAAGACGGTAAGTTTAAATAAAGCCTCTGCTGTAGAAGTGCGATGATTTGTTTGTATTTGTTTGCTCTAATCTAGCGACATTGCAAGTTCAATTTTTGTGAATGAAGAGCCTCATTAGCTTGTTAAGTTTTGTTTGCATGCCTACACAGGGTCTGAAGATGAGTGTGCTGTGGACTATGTTCTACGGGGTTTTGAGTGCATTTGCACCTGTTTATGGCTGGATCCTCGTCCTCCGTGCACTGGTGGGCTTCGGCATTGGAGGAGCCCCACAGTCGTGAGTATTCCTCATTCATCTCCCTAAAATACGAGGTGTTAATAGTTAATGATGTGAGTCAGGATTAAGTGTGAAATGTCCCCTCCTCTTACAAGGGTGACACTGTATGCTGAGTTTCTGCCGATGAGGTCCAGAGCTACGTGCATCTTGCTGATTGAGGTATGGGCTTCTCTTATGCATCATCCATACATAGTGCTGATGGCGAGGACACAACATGCAACCACATCACCACAGCTGTGGAATTCTCTAGCAAGATTTTGAGTTTGACTTTGCCTTTTAGATATTTTGGGCACTGGGCACGGTGTTCGAGGTCCTCTTAGCCATCCTGGTGATGCCCACTCTAGGCTGGCGTTGGCTGCTCGGCCTTTCCACCATTCCTCTCTTCATCTTCTCCCTCCTGTGTTGGGTGACTATGATGTTGTTGTGGTTGTTGTGAGACGCAATATGTCAGCGGAACAAATGACAGCCTAATCCAGTCTGCTCTTTGGTGGGGTGGGATCAGTGGCTACCAGAGAGTGCTCGGTACGACGTGCTGACAGGGAACCAGGAAAAGGCTCTGGCCACATTGAAGCGCATCGCCACAGAGAACGGAGCACCCATGCCACTGGGAAAACTGGTTGCTGACAGACAGGTGAAAGAGACTTTCTGCAGAACAGAAACATTTATGAATGATATTAATGTATGCTGCCTATTTTTTTTGTCTGTCATTTTAATTAGGAGGAACGAGGAAAGATTCAAGACCTATTTTCTTCCCATTTTCGCTGGACCACAGTGCTGCTGTGGTTTATTTGGTAATTATTATAATTATCATTGGAGCTAATGATAATGCCACCTACTGACACTCTGAGTTGTTACCCACAGGTTTCTCATTTGTTCTTAAGCTCCGAAACCTCAATGTTCTCCAAGGGCACAGACATATTAATCTAATCAAGTGAACCACTATTAATTCATCCCGTTTCCCTCCTCAGGTTTGCAAATGCCTTCTCTTATTATGGGCTTGTGCTGCTCACTACGGAGCTCTTTCAGGAGGGAGGTGCATGTGGAAGTGAGTCACAGCTCGAACAGCGACGGATGACTTCGCACATTCAAGGACACGCACTCACATTCTTATTTGCTACACTGTTAAGAGATATTTGCAGTTTAGTTACATGTGTCAGACCAGCAGAGAGTCTGGAGTGGCAAACGTTTTGGATTCCCTCGCACAGGTGTGCCAGATAACATTAACAACAACGCCTCCTGAAACCTGTGAAGAAACAGAGCCATCCTTAATGTCATCAGTCATATCTGCCATTTAAGATATCCACACATTTCTACTGTATGTTTTTTGCTAAATCACAGATCAGGCCTGTGCTGGGTGTGTATAATCCTGTTTTCTGTTGTTTTATATCTCCCTCTAGTGTCCAAAGGTAACAAGAAAGATCTTCAATGTAACCTGGAGTGTAAATATTTGAACTCTGACGACTACAAAGACCTGTTGTGGACCACCTTATCGGAATTCCCAGGTACACATAAGTTGTGTCTTCACTCAGTCTTTTTATTATTTTCTATGATTCTTTTCTACTATAGTAGTTAATTATATTGGCTTTGTTGTTCCAATGTATCATAATTACTTATTATACCTTATACCTATTATACAAGTAAACATCTTAATAACGTTAAGACAATGTTCTAACAGAGGACACTTTGGCAAGGAGTTAAAAATAACATTAATGATGGCCCCATTCCATTTAGGTGTGCCAGGGCCTCGCTGTCAGGCCGGCTTCCTGACAAAAGTCCTGGCTTACCCAGAGAGAATGGAGCCATCATTAAGATTATTAGTCACCCCTCTGCTTTTCCACCAATGACCTGTCATTGTCATGGTAATAATAAAACACATTTCATTTAATTGCTGCACCGTAACATAAAGAGCAAGTCAGCAAATTGTGTCCTACACGCCTTGAATTTTAAACCGTCGCATAGGACTGCTGGTGACACTGTGGGCCATCGATCGACTGGGCAGGAGGAAGACCATGGCGTTGTGTTTCTTCGTCTTCTCCATGTGCATCATTCCCCTGTATGGCTGCCTCGGGAGGTGAGGTGATACCGAGGAGAACATTGAGCGTGACGTTGTGCGTCCACCATTCATCCAGCATTACTGGTTCCTCTGTTGCAGAGCACCCATGACAGTGTTGATATTCATCGCCAGAGCTTTCATTGCGGGAGGATTCCAGGCTGCTTACGTGTACACTCCAGAGGTAAGACGTCTACCAGGGCTGTCAGATGTTTTCCTTTTATTTCTTGCGTTGAGTAAAATAAAAAATCAGATCCAGCCTACTCAGTTTTTTTTCCTGAACCTGCAGGTGTACCCAACAGCAACCAGAGCTTTAGGTCTGGGAATGAGCAGTGGAATGGCCAGAGTCGGTGCCCTTATTACACCTTTTGTTGCCCAGGTAACACCCATCAGTCAGTACTGTTTCTTTTTAAGACATCAAAACAAGAGGAAGTAACAAAAATGTTTTTCCCTGGGTTTCATCCTGCAGGTGATGTTGGAGTCATCTATTTACCTGGCTCTTTCCGTGTACTGCTGCTGCTGCCTCCTCGCCGCCATCGCCTCTTGTGCACTGCCAATTGAGACAACGGGCCGGGGCCTGCAGGAGTCGAGCCACCGCGAATGGGGCCAGGAGATGGTGGGTCGGGCCTCCTCCCAAAGCTCAGGGGGAATTCCTCCCTCCACCCCTGTTTCCCAGGACTGAGGACATGTTGGCAGGAGCACAATTGAGATTTGAGGACCAGTGAGGAAAAGACGTGAGAAGAGGCAAAAGAAAAAAAAAGCTAATCCAGCTTTGGTGTCCAGCTCCAGTCCCACTTTATGACTCCTCAGTTTCGGCACCAGAGTGGCTTCAGAGAGCCAGGCACAATATTACAAATCTTATCATGTCGTCTTTGACCGCTATTGCTGTCATAGTTTGGCCACTTCTTAACTGGAACAACAAAATAACCATCACAGGTACAAGATTGAGAAAATAAATGGTGGATAAAATGTGAAACATTCTTGAATGAATGAATTGAATGAATTCAAGTAAAGCATTTAAATCCTTCTAATGGAAAAAAGAAAAGTAGAACAAAGAGGGTCTAACGGTTAACTCTGTTCCGAGTTTGGGCTTGAGAGAACTTCTCTTGTCTGTTGTGTCTGTTAGCGTAGATCCACGATACGGAGATAAGGGTGAGGACCGTCTTGTGCACACAAATTGTTGGTTAAGAAACACAAGCTTTTTAACTTGTATATGGCAGGTGTGAGGAACACGTCCTCATTGACAAATCAAAAGACAATTAGATGAAATACAGTCTGGGGTTACATTGTTGAAGATTGTGCCAGTGAAAGGACATACTGTACAGACAGACAGCCACCGTGTCGAACCCTGTGTTTGTATCATTTCACATTTCAACATGGATCATTGTTTTCTGCTGGAGCCACAAACCGTTTCATTCACAACAACCCAACAAATCTGCCAAAACCTTCATCAGAAGATAATAAACATACAGTCAAAGATATTTCATAGTTAGTGCACATCTAGAAACAGTCCACAGATGCTGGGCTGCATTTAAAGAAAGAATTATGTACATTGACGTTAACGTATTATGAAACTAAAAGCAGACCCGACCTAGATAGTAAGTGTTAAATGATTTTAAGGAATTACATTAACAAAAATATTTGGTGTTGCATTCTCTCCTGTACCAGACCTCGAGGCTCTGCACACACAGACCTACACACGCGTATACGCAACGGCCCAGCAGGGTGGTCCGTTCTGTCTTCCTGTAAATAATGTATCTACACCTGGTTGAGTTGTTGTCTCTACTTTTGTTTGTAACAAAGGTGATGAGAAGACACACTTTGCTCAGTCTGAGTGACACACTGAGAAATGTTTTGTTTAAGAGACAAACTTAAAAGAGAGATTCACCAGTTCAGGTCCGGCCAGCTGACTCTTTACCTGCCAGTGTTTGATTCATAGTGCTGCATTAAATGTATGTGTGCACACATTATTGTCAATGCACTGGATGTAAATGTGTATGATATTATCGTAAATAGTAGAACAAAAACAGCCCTGGATTCATGTTTTTATTTATTACTACACAGTATGGTTATATTAGTTATAATCATTTTCATTATGAAGATTTGTACACTTATTTTAATCAACAAAACCTTCACATTTAAGTATCACTACTTTGGAATGATCCATTTGTTATTAATAATCAACGTGAGTAGTGTCTCCTCTTTAAAGTCACATTCAAGTTACAAACATTGCATCGTTTTGAAGCGACACAATTAATCCAAAGGTACACGTGTTTGCTCTAAATGTTAGTTACAAACCAGAGCAGTTTGAGCAGTATGTGATATAAGGCACTGACCTCCTTGTTCTAAAAAGAAGGGCACCAATCAGTACAAATTTACAAGCGAGCTTTTGGACCTTTGCTTTTTTGTTCCACAATCTGACCAAAGAGCCTCGCTGCCTCCTGCGCACAGCCTCGGTGAATAGTGAGTCCAAAACCTCCATGGCCGTAGTTGTGTATCACCTGAACGAGAGCCATGATATTTTAAATGTAGAAGTCAAATGAAAGACTGGTTGGAGTGCTGCTGGGCTGTTAAAAGTTTACCTCCACTGTAGTCGCCCCACACTGTATGGCCTCCCTCTCCAGTCGGACTTTGCTGCGAACCGGTCTCAGGCCGGCCCAGTCCTCCACCAGCCTGGCATGCTGAAGTTAGTAACGACGAGCCGTGTGCACATGCAAAGGCAAATGCACACGGTTACATACCGTAGCAGGGCAGAGGCTTGTTGTAAACCATTTATTACAGTTGACACAAACAGTCTTTGTATGGGCTCCTAGACAAACACTCTGATATCATCTCACCTTGAGACTCGGCTCCAGCTTGCAGGCGCTTTCCCAGATGTGTTTATGGTCGGTGGAGTTAGTCTTTTCACTCCAGTTTCCTAACTGTAAAATTCCTCCGACCGTCACGAGGCGACTTCTGCAAACAAATTACAACAACCTTGTCTTTCTTTGTCTCCCAAAAAACACTGTAATTTAATTTAAAATCTTCTAAAAGTCTTATATAACCACTGCAACTTTTGATGTAAATGATACTCTAAGTCCACAGCCCTCCTGTCCCTCACTACTAACATTACAAAAGACGTTGGCTCCTAAATGATATGCATCAAATCCCCAGTGTTTGATGTCACTGAAACTACCCTGGAATGATATATGGTGAATTATAGACCCCTGTTTTAAAATCGTGGGTAAGAATCCAATGCTTCAGCCACGGAGCATCCACCTGGAAAACAAAGAATAACCAGGTACAACCTTTGTTCGCATAGTGCCTTTGTAGATAGATATAGAACCACTCTCACTTTTATTATCTGGCCACGGCCTGGTTTGAGCTCAGGGTCCGGCTGGAGCTCTCCGGATCTCATCCCAGTGCAGTTAATGATCACGTCTGCCCCAGTTTTTACCAGCTAAATACAGGCAAGCATGATAAGAGATAACAAATCCAACAAGCAATAACATCTGTTTGGAGGTAAGAGGGAAAATACAACAGCCTGGCGATATAGGATGTAAGAGACAAAGAGCAATCCTAAAATCAAAAATAAAACAATGTACAACTATACTAAACTATGCAACTATATATTGAAAAGCCTTTACGAACCTCCTGGAAGGACTCTATTTTTCTGTGATGAAATTTCACTCCCCTTTTTTGCAACCTGAGAATAACAGAGAACCAGATGTTTATTATGAGCACTTTAAAACGAGTGCTGAAAGTACATATATGTATATTATTTTTGACTGAACCGGTTATTCAAGATTTCATATGAAAACCCCGCTGGCCATTTACATCTACACAGCATATAGCTAGTTTATCAGATCAAAACATAAACTATTTCATAAATTATGTTTGAAACAGCTACACATAGAAAGTAAGTTGAACTCAGGACTTGACTCACCAATCCATCAGCCAAGGTAAGTATGTTTTACCTTCAACCATGAGAGCAGTGTTGAACCACCCATAACTGTACATATTAGAAGAGACAGTCAGAGAATCTAGCTATACACTTTTATTAGGAACCACGCAATATAAGGACTTTTTTTTTTAAACACCAATGATATGCTTTAACGTACCCAATTAATGAGCATGAACAGTTCATTGCTTCTAAACATTTATTTCATGAAATTTTGCAGTTCTATGAAAATGATGAATTATTATTTTTATTTGGTTTTGTGTATATGTTAGTAAAATATGTCTTGCTGTTCTCAATGTCTGAAATACAGTATGGTTTTATTGCACTCAAATGTGGGAAAGGTAATATGTTTGGCACGACGTGAAAACATATTTAACCATTTGCAGCTTTGCTTCATGCTTGTTGTTTTGCTTTCATGGCAGTTTCAGCAGGATACCTACTTGTATCCGGGGAACAGCTGTAGCTCTCGTTCTGTGAGCTGCCTGAAGCCCAGGACAATATCTTTAAATGAGGGCGCCTGCAAACAAAAGCAAGTCAATATTCTGTCATTAATGTTGTAAACTTGTCCTGGTCAGCTATTGTGTGTTAGTTATAATCCTTGCTGTGACGATTGAGTGTCCCAATCCTTGTGGAGGAATCTCTGTTATTGTTTTCAAACCACTGCAGCCATTTGTCTTTGTGTGACTGAACAAAGTCCGGCTGGACACGAACGCTTTGGGTTAATGATGGATATCGCACTGATATGTAATACATTTATGAGCTAGTTATAGAGGTTACATTTTTACAAGTTTTACAATGTCTTTCTCTTTTAGTAAGGCTTCTGAAACAAGGGCAGATCTTATCTTTGAAGCCAGATTAAGTTCAAGAACAATGTACTACTCACTGGGGCTGGTTCAGTGCAGAGGTTGTAGCCAGACTGAAGGAAAATACCCATTTGTACAGACTCTGGTGAACTGAGGAAGCTTAGCAAGTAGTCAAATGTCTCTTTATTCCATTTCCTAAAAGAGAGGAGACAATACAGCACAAAAATGCCAACCATTTTTTACAGATTTAATGGCAAATCAAAAGAGAATTACGTGGAATATGCTTACGTCTCCTGGACTTTGCCTTCATCGTAGAGATATGGCTGCCAAAAGCCAGCAGCTCCATCACTAGTGGTCAGTGGAGTGAAATGGTCAGCATACACCTCAATCGTCAGCGGACTGATGATGGAGTGATACTGCTCATAGATGCTCTGAGCTGTTGACAGGCCGATGACTCCCGCTCCAATCACAGCAACACGCATGTCTCGATCAAGATGAGACACATGACATTTAGGTATGAGACTGACTCATATGCATCCCAGATGTGTGCAGGCCAACATCTTGGAAGTCAATCTTGAGTTATAATACACTAGAATAGCAATGGTGAAAATATTCTGTTTATAATCCATGTATTACCTATATGATTAAAAGTGCATTATTAGTTGTAGTGGTATGGAAGCAGTTTTAGTAATGATTGGACAGATATATTGAGTTGAAACGTTTAGGAGTTGGCGTTTAGAAGTCTTCCCAGTGTGAAAACCAAACAATTATCACTGCGGTCAACTCAGCAGACACTTGCATTTTAGTGCACGTGTATGCTGACATTTACGGTATTAAACAAGTAACCGGAATACAAAAAACAAGTAACACACATACCACACACATACCACAGTTATTGTCCAGAATCTTTGAAGATTCTGGACAATAACTGTGGTATGTGTGTTCAGGACCATTCTGACTACTTTTACTGTACAAAGTTAGATAATTATCCAAATTAAAAGCCCTATATTTCAAAGTTCAAAAGGACCATCCATTTTTGAACTGCAATAAAAATACTTTTCTCAATAGTTCCAGTCAACGTGTATTCTAATACATGTTCCAATATATACCGTAAATATTAGCATAAACGTGCAATAAAATTCAAGTGTCTGCTGAGTTGACCGCAGTCAATTATGTAACAGAAATGGGACTTCATTTGTATTTGCATTTGAAATCGCTGACGTGGAACGAGGTTAGTTATTTATGTAAATGCTGCGTAATGTAAACAGATCGAATGCGATTATTACAGACGATCCACTCGCAACCGAACTGTTGATTTCCAAAACAGTTTTGCTTTACCTTCAGTCAAGTCTTCAGCCACCAGCGTAGAACTTGGTGAAGTCGGTCACAGCAAACACTCTTTCCTTTACTCACCCCTCGGTGCCGCGGTCACGTGGGCCGGGGGCGGAGCTAGATGCCTCTCAGCACGTATTAGATCGATTGTGATGCGCGTCACAATCCAATTTCCAAACTTAACAATCAAACCATGTATCAGTGCTTCCTTTTCGCTATTTTTCCCTTTTTACTGTTCGTGGACATGAATGTGTCCACACGTTATTGTTATATCACGGAGTGAAAATTTGTTATCGTATATTTTAGTTGAATAGCTTGATGCCTAGCCGCCTATTGTTTGTTTACAGTTACAGTTTACTAGTACTCATAGGACTGCCTCCAATAATATGATTGTTTCCAGGACTAAATGTACAAGTACACGTTTGAGTTGAATCACATTCAGCACCCACAGACATCAAGCACAGCCACACTTTAGAGATAATAATAATAATAATATTGATCACCATTTTTATTGTATCAAATTATCATTGGTGCTATAGTAATTAATAATACTACGGTCTAATTTTGCTAAATCATATTCAAGATCAGTTATTTTTATTTTTGTGTGTTCATGTTATATCTTGTCTACATTGTCTTTGTTGTTTACAAAGCCGTACTCGGGCTGCATTAAAAATGGCTTTTGCCTTGATGTTTTGTTAAGTGGTATTCATTGTATCACCACATAGTTCGAAGTGCCATCGAGGCGGCCAGGGCCGTGAAGGCGGCACTTCCTGCGGGACCCACGCGGCTCATCTCGCTCCCTCCCTCCATCCACCCATACGTCCGTCCATCAGTTGCATCGTTAGCTCGGCAGCTAGCAGCTAGCAGCTCAGCAAGCCCAGCGGCCGGCCGGTGCATCCGCAGCTTCCAGCCATGGCGTTGGTTACTCTGCAACGGTCCCCGACGCCGAGCGCCGCGTCCACCGCCAGCACAGCAACCACCACCGCGGGGGAGGTCAGTCCGGTTCCCCGGGGTCAAAAAAAAACGACGGGCCGCGGGCGTGAAGGTGTTGTCGTAAGGTGTTGTCTTGAGAAAGAGGCCCGCTGATTGGAGCTAAATTAGCGCCGTTGGTTAACGTTATGCTAGCTCGGGCTTCATCGGTAGCTAGCAAACGTCTCCGTTACTCATCACGAGACGCTGCTGTTCACCACTAACGGTAAACTAAGTTATGCTAAAAAAAAAAGGCGGCTGGACTTGTCGTTTCTATAAAATACCAACAAATTAATTAGAAAAAAAACCTCTCACACCTGTTAAATGTTGCGTTGATTTGAAAGAGCTGCTGAATTTGACAAACGTCTTAATGAATGATTTGAGTTAGCCGGTGCTGATGTGAGTGGCTGAAATGGAAACATGACATTGATTGACACTGATGTATTTAAGGTGTTATCACACACTGTGTGTGTGTGTGTGTCTCTCTCACACCATCAGCACCACGGCGACACCGAACAGGGACGTAAAAGAGATTTCCCGTCCGGTAAACGACCAATAAGGGGAGGGAGGAAAAAAAGATTTTCGTGTGTTTCTCTATCAGCAGTTTGAGACACTATTTTTTTCCAGGAACTCACTGAAAGCTAAACGGCATTGTCCTAGAATCCAAACGATATCATTCAAATATAACTTCCTTTGCCTCTTCCAAGTACAAGTGTTTTCTCTTCTCTGTCACAAGAGGGCGCAAACCACCAGCCACGAACAGGCACCAAACCACAGGAGATGACAGCTGTCTGTCACAGACCATTAAAACTCCACATGTTCAAATGCATGCACAGTTGTTACTTATTACAAATACATTCCTTGTTTTGATAGTTCCTATTGTTTGTTTGTCTGGTTTTCATTTCTGCACTGAGGGGAAGGGATGGGGATGGGGATGGGGGGGGCTATAGATAAAGCAGGCAGGAAACTGCTGCAGCTATGATGTCATCTAACACTAGTTGGATGATAAAACCTTCTCAGTCTACATGCTGTGGGCCACTGAGCAGCGGTCGGATGGCTCTTGTTCTCCAGAGGCAGACTTATGCTAACTTTAATTAGCATAAAAAAAGCAAACTTGCTCAATGTATCGACAGCAATTGGTCCTACTGGTCTCCGATGCGCTTGGTCAGGGTGGGGTGAGCGTTTCGCTCCCTGCTTGATGCCACTAAATCCTGATCAGCGGTACTGTAAGTCCTTATCATGAAACACAAATGCTCTCAAATCCTCCGCATCAGGCAGCAGCAAAACTGTCAGGCAGCTCCAGCTTGTTCAGAACGCTGCTGCTAGAGTTCTAACAAAGACCAAAAAATGTGAGCACATTACACCAATTCTTAAATCCTTACATTGGCTCCCAGTATGTCAGAGAATTCATTTCAAAATCCTACTGCTCACATATAAATCACTACATGGTTTAGGGGCCAAAGTATATCACTGATATGCTTCCACTACATAAGCCTTCAAGATCACTAAGATCTTCTGACACCAATCTGTTAGTGATTCCCAGAGTAAATACAAATCATGGGAAAGCATCATTTAGTTACTACGCAACAAACAGCTGGAATAAACTTCCTGAAGATTTAAGACTGGCCCCAACTCTGACCACGTTTAAAACAAGACTGAAAACTTTTATGTTCAGCTTCGCCTTCTGCTAAATTTTACCTACATTGCACTTTTAACCTCTGCCTTTAATTAAACAATTTAAATAAGATTTTAATTTATAATTTTATTTGCTGTTTTTAATTGTCTTTTAATTCCTGCATTTTATTTCACTTTATTGTATGTGAAGCACTTTGAGTCTGCCTTTGTGTATGAAAAGCGCTATACAAATAAAATTGCCTTGCCTTTCCTTGCATGATTATTGGCACACGCGTTGGGGTATTTACTGTACATACCTGATCCTGCATCTCCTCCCTGACTGTTCTTCTGTAATGTGCTATGAATCACACAAAGCCACATGCACACACACACACGCACACACACACACTGCAGTTGTATTTTTTGTTCTTGTACTACATGGAAACGCTGCAAAAGTAAAGCATTTAAATGTTCAACGTTATTCACCCAAGCTTCTGCTTAAATGGCTCTCTTGAACTGTTGTGGTATTTATCCTCTCCGTTATCTGTATTGCAGGATTTTGGGAGTGAAGATGAGCGGCGAATAAATCAGAGGTAAGTTTACTTTTGAGTTACTCACGGTACGTGGCAAAGCACGTCAGACTTTGTGCACAGGTGTCGTTGACTGATTGGCTGCATCTGTCTTTTAGTCATGTTATGCAATCTTGGAAGGCGGCAGACTGGCCGCCATCAACAGACGAGGGCAACTAAGCGTCAGAGTAATGAAACGTTTTAGTTTGTTTTCGTCTTTGTCAGACGAGAGACTTTGCTGGCAGATATTCTATGTAAAAGTAGATTAGAAAGCAGCACGAGTTCACACAATAAATATGTTTCTTATTGCAAGTTCTAGCAAGACAGTTGTTTTTTTCACTGGCAAAAACCCAGTCAGTGCACAGCAGCCCGTGTTTTAGTATTCATAATGTGTAACGAGCCGGTAACAAGCAAGCACTGCTGTATGGCAAACACTGAATACAGTTAGTGTAACACAACCCCAGGAAAGTTGTTCATTTAAGAGATTTAATTTCAGATTTAATCAATACAATAGCTTTTGTAACAGCCTCTATGCCTTTTTTGGTTCCACATATAACGTCCACTGGACGAGAGGGGGACAACGATGACCAAGTAGCTTAGTGAATGTGCATCTTGCTTCAAATTTGTCGTTTGCTTTTGTTATATTTGCTTTTTTAAACTTTTATTGCTTAAGAAGTCACTTAAATAGGTGTGAAGTGGATGAATTACTGACAAAGCAGAACACTTATGACCTCAACCTAAGCAAATTTGTCATTTTAAGTTATGCAACAGCCTTCGGCGATGTCCCTAAGCAACGAGCGTGTGTGTGAGAATGATCCATGCACGAGGCCAGTCCGGTCTTGCCTCACGGTTGCTTGAGGGGCTGTTAAGCCATTTTACGCAACTAAATGGCCAGTAAATCCATGCTTTTTAATATTTTGGCACATTAGGTCTGCCGTTACTCAACCAACCTATTTCTCTTCGGATCCCTGTGTACTGATCAAGTTCGCAGGAGAGAAAGCCTCATCTGCCGACTGACAGCTGTTGGTCTGCCAAGTGGGGGTGTTTGCACTTACTGTTCCCAACTGATCTTGATAACGACGACTCAAGGGGAGGCCAACATCAACACGGTGCAGGTGTCGATGGCTCTCACTCAAGGAATGATCTAATCTTCCCACCTTGTACACAGCAGAGTTGGGCAAGAATTCCAATTGGAGGTGGGTTCCAGTGTGTGGAATGAGGAGAGGGGGGGATTCCTCATGTGGGGCAACATAGAATCGGCATCGCAAACGTCCATTTAAACTCACCACAACTACTTCTCAGTGAAATAACACGCATGTCAAGACTGGTAGCGATTTAATTGCCATGCTGTGTCACAATACTGCTTCTGGATTTAGATGTGCGGCGAAACGGCAGCAGAAGCAACGTCTGTGTGTTTTTATTGTGTCCTTACTCATTGACACGGGGGCGACATGCGGGGACACCTGAGGACGTTTGTCCTTCTCTTGCTCCGTGATGTAAGTAAGAGGACGGCAGCGTTATGCAACTGGTCGCGCCTGGAGGAGGCTTTTTGTTGCGACCGTGTCGGTGTGTGCGAGACCATATGAGGCTGTGCATAAACCAGTGTGGTTGCGGCCTCTGAGTCGGCCTTTCGTAGTGAGTCCTCGGTGGTATCCAGCGCACATCCAAATCACACCAGTTGATTCAGTGCCGTGGCTTAGCGTTCACCTGGCCACTGCTGCCAACCCTACCCATACCCAGTGAAACGCCATCATACCTGCCTGCTGCTTCTAACGCCTGAGCTCGTATGCAGAGGAGGTTCCCACCGACACGCACCCGGCACACCGAGTACAGCATCTGCTAGCGACCAGGTGTTAAAGGCTTTGCCCTGTTGTGAGGAACAATTGGTAGAGCTATCTTGTTTTCCGTGTCGCCGAGCTATTGTTAGTGTCTGTCAGCAAATCCTTCCAGATTTACTCTGTGTGCGTGCGTGCGTGCGTGTGGAGGTTTCAAGGCTTTGTGAGAGAGGCCAGTTGAGAATGAACATTATAGCCTATAACATCTTTTATCCCACAAACAGACACACCTTTGGGCTACATTCAATCGTTTCTTTCTGACTGCAATTGCATTATTTTACTTTATTTCGGTTATTATAAATTTCCCTTCCATGTGTGTGAAAATAATTTTTGCTGCTGTTGCAGCTGGACATGAAGGATGTTGTCCCCCAATAGTGTAACACACTGTTGTTTGTCTGTGGTACACGTGAGAGTGACAGTCGGTGCTGGCCACTTTGAGGTGAGGGGAAAGATAATCCCTCCCTTATAAGCCTGGGTTTAATGAGATTTGGGAGTTTGGGAGATTGCCAGTTCTCATTGGCCTTTCCACCAATGCTCGGCCCGTGCGTTAAGCTCCCCGGAGGCACTTCTCTGGATCCTGTTGACCCTTAAAGTGGCATGCGCATGGAGACATCTTCTTAAGAAGATTTTAGCCAAATCCCTGCATCTGCTTTTTTGTCTTCCTCAAATTGGATAACTGGTCTGGCTTCTTTTCTTTTCTGTTTTTTTTTGTGGGAGAGCAGCAATAACTACTGCAGGAGACACGTGTGTCATCAGTTAAAGAGTCCCTTTGCTCACGTCTCTGGAGTAAAGTGGACGAGAGCTCATGGTGAAGACGTGTAATGTACAGCGAACTAGAAAAGAGTTACAGGCAAACGCAGGCACAGTTCCGTGCGCCCGGAGCAGCGTGTGCTGACTGCACTGCGTTCCTCAGAATCACACTCAAACACACAGAGACTCCGGAGATGATGATGACGAGAAGAAAAAGGAGGGAGTGGCTCTTCTTCGCTGAGCAGCACAGATGAGCGCAGCCTGTCAGTCAGTCTGAAAGGCCCCCCCCCCCCTCCCTTTCTCCTCGTGGCTCTTTGCTCCTTCGCTGTTGTCTGGAGGCAGAAGAAGAGGAAGTCGCTCCCAGAAGAGAGGCGTGGGTTTCCTACCGGTCAACAGGATGCACCTGGTTGTAGAACCTATTCAGGAGGCCGTGATGAAGATGCTACCGTATTTTGTGGAGAACGCTGTGTTGACCCAGAGCGAAATAAACCGCATGTGAGTTCATTTTCATCTTCTGAAATGGGTGTTGAACGCGATGGAACGAGGTCTGGACTTACTGTCGTTGTCTTTTGAACAGATTAGAATTGAAAGTTATTTGCTCTTGTTTTTTTGCAGTTCTTCCGTAGTCTTTGTTCGCTTTGATGCTGATGGGTGATGACAGCGTACAGCTGAGCCTCTTGACATACGAATAAAGAAGTTTCACCTGGGTTTTTTTCTTCTGTTGGAGGCTGTTGGTTATCACAGGTACTGGGGGACTTGGGTTACTCATTGAAATTGGATCAAAATAAGACACAGGGATTTGTACACAGTAAAGAGTAATTCCCAGTAAGGAGGCCGCAGCCCTCGTCTTGCTCTCGCCACGTTAGCCTGGTATTATCCATCACTCCCTAACAGCGGATCCTCCTGGCACACTCGCACATCTCAAACAGGGAACAGGGACTGAAACAGAAATCCACACAAGTGAGACAAAAGCTCTTGTTGAGTAGTGTCCACCCCCGAGCTTTGTCCCTGTGCAACTTTTTACTGTGGTGTTGCTGGGGGCGGAGGGAATTTATTGTGAGGTACAGAAAACAAAGTCCTTTGTTCCCACAAAATCATCTGCGTGGCACAGTCCTTCTACTGGATGTGGGTTGTGAAAGTCTTATCGGAGGGAGCGCTTTAAGAGCTGGAAGAAGCATGTCAAGGGGAAAGTTTAAGGACTAGAAATATCTGTGGAAATGAATGGAGTCCGCTCAATAGGTGGTGTGTGTCCATACAAAAGGCCTTTACATTTTTCTGGTGTTTACACCTGTATATGGAGGTTATGCTGTTGAAGATGATACTAAAAATCAGCACTTTTGCGCTTGGTATTATTAATTAAATGGTATTATTTTCCTCATTACAATAGTGTAAACTGCAGATACCAGCCGTGTTAGGCTTGATAATCATACGTTATCGTCAATACAACTTTGTATTCCATAGTTGCTGTATTCAGAAATGAGTCTTGATCCTTTTTTTTTTTCTTCCTTTTTGGGGTTTTGTTTTGTTCCCGTCATTCCTTAGTCCCGTGCTTTGCTAATCATGTGCTGGTTTGCCAGACTGCACTCACATTTACATGCGTGTAGTCTGCTGCCAGGTAGATTCCTGAATGCTCTCGCATTGTTTTTCAGTCAAACAGAATGAATGAATTTAGCCCAGAGGAAACGCCTCACTTCTTTTTTATTGCATTTTCCCACTTAAGTCATCTGTCAGCAGCTTCAGAAGCCTAACCTGAAAAACTCTGGGTTTTTACAGGTAGGTGTGAACTGATAATTGCTGCTCTTCAACAACTGTGAAAGTTATTCATCACAAACAACTACAATTGGGTCAATTGTTTCGGTCTGTGTTGCATACAGCCGGCCGGCAGAGGCTCGCTGTAATGCCTTGCAGCAGACAACGGACAGATAAGCATTCGGGATCAAGGCTTGATTCACGGCTGCTGCAGACCTCAGGTCTGTAACGTGGCAGCTGGGCTTTTCCACTCAGCTGTTGAGAGAACTCACCGGCCCCATCCGCCGTGATTTATGCTTCTACTGGAACTGAGCGGCCCAGTTAAACGCGGCTATCTCATTTGTCTCGTGTCCCACTTCTCAGCAGCCAGAAACGATTGTGCTGAGGTGTTTCTCTGCGGCATGGACGGCGTTGCATGCATTGCGTCGATGTTTCAGTGCTTGTAACTCCTCGCTCCTGTTTGTTTTGTTTTGCAGCCTGAGTGAGAGCTTCTTCATGGTGAAGGGTGCTGCGCTCTTCCTGCAGCAGGGGAGCAGTCAGGAGGGCCAGAAAGCACATCCTCACCACAAGCACGCAGGTGAGCAAAACTAAAAAAAAAAGGCCGACCCCAATATCCACATAATTTACCCAAACTGTAGTTTTGATCTTACGAGTCTCTGACTTTGCAAACCTTGCTCAGTAAAGGGTACATAACTAAATTAAAAAAACTATTCTCATTGGATGAATTTGACCAAAGTATCATAATTCAGTTATATAATTGAGTTTGATGTTTATTGTGAAGAAAGTTACTCACAGTGTCCATTAGGGCTGTCAAAACAGGACAGGACAAATTCATACGTTGTATTAATTTACTTGTATAGGTCATTTATTTAAGTTTAAACTGATTTAACAACATATTACCTACACAAAAATAAGTAAATTAACTAACGGCCAAGACCGCAGACCTCTCGCTCGCACACACGCACACTCTCTCTCTTTCCTGCACTGTCGCGCTCTCTGCGCAAAGCGTTTTAAATGAACTACAATAATAAACAAATGCCGAGTGCTGATCAAGAGTTTTGTGCAAGCAATTTAAGGTCGCGATTCTTGTCCCAAATATGGCAGGCTTCATTCAGTGATTGAAACTAAAAGTATTACAGTACCGACATTGAACGCTCCGAGCGAGCTGTGCTATAAACACAGAACTTTTCCTTGGGATAAAACGGCAAATAATCAAACCAGTGCATGAAGCTGTTGTAGCCTATTTTATTCATGCAATATAGTCAGTACAAAAGCCCGCAGACAGTCGCGGTGTGTTTTTTGTTTTTAACAACTATTCGAATATAGAATATTTGTTGACAGCCCTAGTGTCCATTCCAAGTGCCTTGATTGCTTGCTGATAAATGCTTCAACTTTAAACTTGTGATGTACTGTACCATTTTATTGATTGAAGGTTAATGTCACATCAGTGAGACGGAACAATGAACTAGTCCGGGTCATAAAGCAAAGGCCGTCTCTATTGAAAGCCACAATTATTGCTTTAACAACATAAGCTTCACCTGAAGGTCGACGGGCATGACTGGAAATTAGCCAACAGCCAAAATGCTGCCAAGTCACTTGTCACAGCATGTTATGTCTGTGGTTAGTAGCTTTGTGTACTCTACCAGCCACTTAGTCAGGAAACCCACATTCAACCAGCTTCTCAAACATTTGGTTGCAAACAAACAAACAAATGGTTTCCGAGCAACTCTTTCCTTCAGAATAGAAACGGATAGTGAGGTGACTTTTGGAAAGTGCTATTCCTGCTCTATGGTGCTCACTATTAAACTTCAGAAAGATTTATTTATTTATTTATTTATCAGTGTCTGTCATGTTTTATTTGGCATTGAGTGTATATACGTTCCAAACCTTTAAGGGAAAAAAAGCAAAACAAATCTATTGTTTGTCTTAAGACAATGAATCCGATAAAGGAAGTGATGAAAGACATGTTACAACAGGTTGGTCTACCTGTGGTGACATGTTTGAACATATTTGGCTTTGCATCAGCTTCTACTTTGCATTGCTCTTGCCCCATTGCCACCCCGTTTATTTATTATTATTTTAATCATCCAGCTCCACTGACATGTCCTACATGCAGACGTGTCAAACGGAGCACTGAGGGATGTCAAAAGAACAAAGACAAGCTCTTGAAGTGTGCTTTTGTTCAAATGTTCTGCCCAATAATTTCTGTTCATTGGAAACATGTTCGGGATTTAAAAAACATGTAATATAGTTATTTATTGTGTTCTGGATGATGGCTTTAGTGTTCACATAGCAGTGTAACTTCACTTAGCGACTGCAGTGATTTGAACTATTTGAGTTCTTTGTTTCCCCAGCATGCATTATGTTTTTATGAGTTTAAGTGTTCCAGATAAAACAGGCCTTCATCATCCTTGGCTTGTCTATTTCTAACGCGGGTGTCAGTATGTATGACTAGCCCAGATTTATAGTCAGTGATGCTTGTCGATGATAATTTCTCTTTCTGCAACAGGCGACTTACCTCAACACTTGCAGGTGATGATAAACATCCTTCGCTCGGAAGACAGAATCAAACTGGTGAGAGACAACCGAAGTGTACATTTATAGATCAGAGCATGCACACACACACACACACACACACACACACACACACAGAGTGACTAACCACCTGGCACAGGAAACCCTTCAGAATGCATTTTATTGGGCACTTAAGGCGCTTATTTGTTCCTTGTAATTATTAGGCCATAAGGGGATGTTTAAACTTTCAGAATAGCATTACCAAATCTTTCCGTGTGTGTTGTGTGTGTGTGTGTGTGGTGTGTGTGTGTGTGTGTGTGTGTGTGTGTGTGTGTGTGTGTGTGTGTGTGTGTGTGTGTGTGTGTAAAGCTGGGTTATTTCATTGTATATACACCAGCTTTGTGTTCTCTTACATCCTGGAAACTCAGTTATCTACTTACATCACATTTGTATTCTCATTTTCTTTGCACATCCAGCTGTGACACTATGTTTGGTGCAGATTTTAGTTTCCTCTAAAGCATTTGCTGTTTTAAACTCTCGTACAAACGGGGCATGAAAAGCTAAAAGAGACGGCCCCCACAAGAGTTATTTTAAAAACTATTACTCAACCCAAACGTTTTGAAGTGTGACTGACATTTAACATGCTCACATAAAAGCATTTTCAATACATAAGTACATGTCAGACTAACTGGGCCTTACATACCACAGTATTGAGTGTTTTTTTGAATTGGAACTCAGCGACTATGACTAAAACAGGATGTCTCGATGCAAAAAAGTTCTGTCTTTCAAATAAAAAGCCAAATCTCTGCGACCTGTCCAGGCGGTGCGGCTGGAGAGTGCGTGGTCGGAGCATGTGCGGTACATGGTGGTGGTGTACACCAGTGGGCGGCAAGACACTGAGGAGAACATCCTACTGGGAATCGACTTTACCACCAAAGACTGGTGAGAACATTTAAATCTGCATTTGTGAGTGTGATCAAAAACTCGCTCTCTGCCTCAAACCAGAGCAGCTGCATGTGACCTGTAAGGTAACCGGATATTCAAGTAGTTAGTGAGCAAATGAGAAAGTAAGAAAATATTTAATTGTTTCCGGAAAATCCCAAATAATTTATACTCTCTCCTTTGCCAGCAAAAGCTGTTCGATCGGCATGGCGCTACCGCTGTGGAGCGACACAAAGATCCATCTGGATGGAGATGGGTAAGTTGTGTCTGCGGGCCTGACCCCTGCTATACGGCTGAAGCCTTTAACCCAGTGGCATCTCCCTCTTTAGCCAACACTGCAGCTCCATCTGACGCTTGGTATGAACGTGTATCACACACAGCTTCGCTGTGCTCAGAGGACCATCTGTTTGTGTTTCCTCCTCAGGGGCTTTACTGTGAACACTGCAAGTCGGACCCATGTCTTCAAACCCGTGTCAGTGCAGGCTATGTGGTGAGTAATGATCAACTTCCAGAGCCGCAGTGGCTGTCTAAAGAAATTGAGCTTCATGAATCATGACACACCGCAATAAATCTCTGTGTGCCGCTCGGCTGCAGTGAGGTGGCTTGAGGCAATTCTGATTTATTCTGCCACCTGCTGAAAAGAAGACACATCTGCACAGACATGCATAAAACCTTTAACCAATTATTAAGGCTGTTAGTGGATTATTTTTTACTTTCATTCATTCGTTCATCCACAAAAACAATCACTCTAGGTCAGCGCTGCAGGTGCTGCACAAGGCGTGCGAGGTGTCCCGCAGGTACAACTACTTCCCTGGAGGCATGGCGCTCACCTGGATGGGCTACTATGAGAGCTGCATTGCTTCAGACCAGAGCTCCATAAACGAGTGGAACGCCATGAAGGACTTGGAGAGCACACGGCCCGACTCACCCACCATGTTTGTGGACAAGTCAGTAGACAAAAACTTAAATCGCATGCTCTCAGTTAAGACTTGGCCAATGGCACCGTTACCTGTTGTTAGCATAGCTTGACACCACACACAACTGGAATGTTGTGCTGAGATCTCAATGTGACTTCATCTTCGTTAGGCCTTCAGAGAGAGAGAGGACAGGGTGCCTTATTAAAGCCAAACTCAGAAGCATCATGGCATGCCAGGACCTCGCGAATGTCACCTGCAAACAGGTAAATACACACCAGTAGTAGTAGTAGTAGTAGTAGTACAAACACACTGAAATAAACCAAAGCTTTGCATTTGTTTCTTGTGGTTTCATTTTCAGTGGGTGCATTTACATGTTTCTCTCTAAAGATGGAGACACATCTCGGTTCTCGTGCCAGTTGTTGAAATTCAATCCTTGCATGTCCCTCGGAGAAGACTAGCTTCATATTAGAAGGCTCTGACTTATACTGTAGCAGTGTTTCCTCAGCCATTATATTGCGGCATATATATTATTTTATTTTTTACCATTTACAATTCTCCTCTGTGCACGGTGGCATTCCGCCCTGATGAGCGAGCACAGACAGACACACACACACACACACACATACTACACAGACACGTGTGCAAACTCAGGTGAGCACAGAGAGAGCGCATGTAGGAAAATGACGGTGATGTAGGATTCTAGTGCCTGGCATACTGATCAGGATGAAAAACACTCACAAAGGATTTGTGATCACCTTTTTCAGATTGTTTGTTTGTTTTTCATTCATCCCTGAAAGGATGTTCATAAAAATGATTTTCTCAAAACAAATACTAAATTATTTTTAGTTTTCATTTGGATGATTGCCTGGATAATCCAAATTATCATGACATAATGTTTTTATATATCATGCCATGCCTCATTTTTATTTGCTCATGATCTAGTACTTAAATGTCAGCGTTATTGAACATTCAAGAATTACCCAAAGATGGTGCTGACGTCGTTCAATGTTCTTTGATATTTCATACTTTTGACAATTTTGCAACATTTCCAAACTTTAAGTAAATCATTTAAGATGTATGACAGTATAACTTATTCCAGTGATTATGATGCAGTAACTTAGAACAGCACAGGAAAAGGCCCACGTGAGTGAACATATACTGTAAAACTGTCTTGTCAGATCCGTACAGAGTTGGAACAACACATGAGCTGTAACCTGAAGGAGTACAAAGAGTTCATCGACAATGAGATGCTGCTGATCCTGGGTCAGATGGACAAAGCCACACTAATCTTTGATCACGTCTACCTGGTAGGAAAACCGATACCATCTTTTACAGCAGCAAGTTTCAGTTACATCTGTTCTTTCCTGTAAATAACAGAGATAGAAACAAAATGCCTCCCCATCCCAAAGGGAAGATTGTTTTTGTACAAACTGAGAAAGATCTGTCCTTCATTTGTTTGTAGGGATCAGAATGGAATGCTTCCAATTTGGAGGAGCTGCGAGAGTCGGGGTGATTTGTTTCATATATAAGAGCTGAAAACCAGACAGAAAAAAAAACATTTTGATTATGATTCGAGCAAGAAAGAATGTTGTTGATGTGTTAATATTGTCTTTCCTCCCCAGGGTTGGATACATTCTCAACGTTACAAGGGAGATAGACAACTTCTTTCAAGGCACATTCAGCTATCACAACATACGCGTCTACGACGAAGACGCCACTGACCTGCTGGCCTACTGGAATGAGACGTACAACTTCATCGTCAAAGCAAAGTGAGTCCCGAGTGGAAGAGAAAGCTTGTTGCTCGTGTATATATCCGTTTATAAGGACGTCTCATCCTCAAGGTTCAAACGATCCCAATGTCATTTCTCATATTTACTGTATTTGAGGGATCAGATTATTTTATTACCTCTTGACCTTAGAAGCAGTACTTTGACAATCTAAATTTGAATTCAAGGTCCAAATTATTAGAACTAGTTAGTGGATCTATTTTGTCAAACTACGTTTTTTTCTCTTTTTTTTTTTTGCTGTCCACCACAGAAAGAATAGCTCCAAGTGTCTGGTTCACTGCAAGATGGGTGTGAGCCGCTCTGCCTCCACCGTCATCGCGTACGCCATGAAGGAGTTTGGTTGGTCGCTAGAGAAGGCTTACAACTTTGTCAAGCAAAAGAGAAGCATCACAAGACCCAACGCAGGCTTCATGAGGCAGCTGGCCGAGTACGAGGGCATCTTGGATGCTAGGTACAGCTAATTATGTGTGTGCGGGAGTATTTTCTCTGCTTCTACTCGTCTTCTGCTCACTGTATTTGTATATTTCCAGTAAACAGCGCCACAACAAGCTTTGGCATCCAGATGCGGACTGTGAGATGGCAGAGGGGCAGCAGGGGTTGGCCCAGTGTTGTGGAGGGGAGGGTGGCAGCCACCTAACTCCAGAGCCGGGGATGTCTCCCTGCTCTGGGGAGGCGCTATCTGATAAGGGGGCTGCGTGTGCCTCCCCGCGCACGGCGGTCGCACTGCAGATCGACCCTGCCTACAACAACTACTATTTCCGCCGACTCTCTGACTCGGCACTGGACAGTGAACCGTCTACGCCTGTGCGCGGTCCTCCGCTCATCGGGATGGAAAAGGTCTTTATCGAAATAGAGGATGTGGAGCGGGACGCTCTGCTGGATGATGAGTCCTTTAATGGGCCTGAAGGCCCGTCGCTCCCACAATGTGGACCCTCAGCGGAGGGGTCTGCAGCCCAGACGGGCTCTCGGGACCCTGAGCCCCTGGAGGAGCTACGTCTGAGGCTGGAGTTCAGCACAGTTGAGGAGGAAGATGAGGAGGAGGTGCAAAAGGAAGAGGCAGAGATGGAGGTGCTAATGCAACCAGATGATGGAGGGGGTGGGGCAGGATGCGGAAGAGAGGAAGCCCGAAATGTAGAGGTAGAAGGGGATCCAGAGGCTAATGGGATGGACCTGGCAAGCCTAAATGAAAACTCCAACAATAACAACCATTTCAGCACTCTATGTAACCTCAATGTAGGTTTCATTCATACAATTAACCAACATTTTAGAATGAAAGTAATTGATTTCATGAATCCAGTTATATAATTCCCTGACACATCTGTTTTTCCCTTGTCATTATTTAGGCAAAAGGTCGCTCCCTTCCTCCTCCAGTTGATGCCAAGTCCAAAAGAAAAGAGGACCTTCCACCCGTGCTTTCTAAGCTTTGCCTTAAGCCCAGTCCTCCTTCATTCCCACTGTCTCATACCTCTTCAGTGGTACAGCTCTGCCCCTGTGGCCCTCTGTGTGACTGTGCCAGATGTGCTGATTTCCCGCCCACAGCTCTACTTGACAGAGAGGAGCAGCCAGCAGACTCACTGCGGCTACCGCAGCCAAAGAACGACGGTGGTGGTTTAGTGGAAGGCAAGATTAAGAGTCAGAAAGGTACATCTGCAGCTTCCTCTGAGGCTCTCCCTGAGCTGGTGAGATTGGACTCGGAGGAAGAGAAGCTTGCGGTGGCTTGCCACCTTAGCCAACATCAGGAACACCTGTTGCAGCTGCAGAGGTCTGGACTGGTCCGGCGACGTGCAGAGATACTAGAAAGACTTTCAGGTCTATCCCAGGAGAGCGTGCTCTCTGCAAAGCCTTTGCCCGCATGCCAAAGTTCCATAAACAGCCCTTTCCACATAGAGGAGGAAGAGAAGTGCTCCGGCTTCGTCCAAGACGTCCCTAAAGCTTCTACGCCGCGCCGAGTGTGGTTGGAGCCACTGGCGGTGCCACTGACCAACGAAGCCTTGCTCGGGGTGGCGGGCTCCGGGTTGCTCACGCCCGCCTCCTCGCCTCATGGCTCCACGCTGACACGGAGCTCCAGCAGCGACAGCCTGCGCAGCGTGAGGGGGAAGCCCGGCCTGGTGCGGCAGAGGGCGCAGGAGATCGAGACCCGCATGCGTCTGGCGGGCTTGACCGTGCCGTCGAGCCTGAAGCGGTCCAACTCGCTGGCCAAGTTGGACAGCCTCAACCTCTCCTCGGAGGACCTGTGTTCGGCCTGTTCCTCGGACGCAGGAACACTACTGCTCCTCTCGCTGTCCCCTGAGCCGGTCCCGGGCCTGGAGTGGGACTCCCCCACCACCTCGGCTCTGATCCGCAAGGACCTGCACACTCCAGAGAGAGGACAGCCAGGTGAGCCCAGAAGCTGACATATCGAATGGAGGACGTTTACACTCCACACACCCCCTCGCCGGTCACCCTGTGGGTAGTGGAGTCAAAGGAAACTAATGAAAACAATAAAAAGAAAATGGCAACTGTTTTTACAGTTACGTTGTTTCTCAAACTGCTGTTCACAGTGATGAAAGCTATATTGCTGTATCTGTGTGTTAAGCCATCAGTTCACCTCTCACTTTGTTTGATTCATGCAAAAACAAGTGCCTTACCAACGAGACCAGGGGCACAGAGCTGTGTGTTGGACTGCAGGACGATACGGTACAAGGCGCTCTATAACCTTTAACTCACAGCTGTTAGGACCAGATTTTTACCTAATAATGGTATCCAAGATTATTTTTATCTGTCTTGTACAATGTTGTAGCCTACGTGTGTAAACATCCCTCGATGGAAGTTGACCGAAAGCAAAGTGTTAATAAATGTAGAGTGGACTTGTATGTTTTAGAGGCTAGACGGTTTTAAATTAATGGTTACCTCATGTTGCATTCATGGAGCTCTTTCTCGGGCTATAATTTAAACTCACTTAATTTGCGGATGTCAAATTAAAGTGAGGGAATCTGATTTTGAGGTGTATAATAATGCATGAATGTGTGAGTGTCAGTCTGTGAGTGAGTGGGATCAAAGTGAAGAGCGAAGGTTCTGACTTTGTTTTGCCAGAGGATGCTCACTGTTTTCAACAAACTGAAGAGAAACATTTCTGAGTTTGTTGTTCTTTTGCACTGCTTTTTTTAATCTTGAGTGGAAACAAGTACGCTTTCTTCCAAAATAACATCAGAGTATTGTTATTGACCTCATCATTGCCTACCTACAGTGCTGTTGGGAGAGCAGAGTGAGGAGTCGTGGCTTGTTATGGTCTGCTGTGAAAGAAACTGAAGATGTATAGCAGTCAAATCATATCATGTGAGAGTAAAGCTATCTGAATATTTCTGATCAAATATGAACATGCAACAATTTATATCCAAAACTTCCGTTCCCTTACGTTGGCTCCACCTCCAGGATTACCCACATTTTAAACTCATTGTGCTTTTTGAAATGTAAAAGACCAAAGTTCTTTGGCTGTCTCAAAAAATTGAAAACACCATCGAAGGTGTTCAAACTATGTGCATCATACACATATCACGCATACAAATGATTTTGCACCTTTTGGGAGAATTGAAAGAAACACTGTGTGTGCACAGGCTCATAGCTGTTAAGTTTTTATGCTCAAATGATGTCTGTCAGTCTGAAAGCTGTTGTGACCCAGACTCAAAGATCAGTTACTTCACAGTTTTGTAACCATTTTCCTTTTATATTTAAGTATGCAGTAACTTTTGTACTGTACAATGCTGTAGTTTGAATGCATATTGCACTTTTTATGTTGGTCAAAATAACGTACTGTATTTGTTCATTATGGAAATAAACCCTTGTTTTACATAATAAACCATGAACCTGTGTATTCATTCCAAACTACAATAGGTTATAAGACATGAGTGAAAAACTGTATTTACTGTATCACCCTGCATGTTATGGATGTTTTTGTTTAAAACCTTCCTGAATGAGGGGAAAAAACCATCACAAGCATAACTAAATATCTGTGCAGTGACTTAATGGGGTCTGTATCCTGAAATGACATCATCGTGCCCCCATCTGTATGCTTTGGCAGGATACTCGTTTTCCACCAGCGAGTTATATAACATCGGTTTCCCGTCACTGTCTGGGTGACTTTAGTGAATGACTTAAGTACCACACTCTTGCTCCTCCTGTCATGTTAAACACATTTGTGTAAAATGAAAGAAAGCCCTGTGTGAAGTACAGCATGCGGTGGGGGGAATTGAGGCAGCAGGTCTTGCTTTGGTGAACTGGGACGCATGTCTGGCCACTGTAAACTTGTAAAACATTTAAATGACGGACCAAATAAATATGACAATTTGCAGCAACTAATTAACCGTGTGCCAAAAAAGCTTTTGGCCTCTGTATTCATTTAATTTGCAAATATCTCACTTTTTTTGTCTCGACAAGTCAGGAGTGGCACTTTTCAAACGCAAGGAATGCCGGCGGCTTGTCTGTCAACACTGCAGCTTCCAGTCAGCAGTCTCCGGGTGTGGGCCGGGCCCTCTGCCCCTCCCACTGCTGGTGAATTCTTGGCTTGACGTACCTCCACTTTTGTTTTATTATCTGAGGACGTATCCCGTTTTGGTCGTCTCTATAGAGACCAGGAGAAACAAGAGAAAAAAAATCTGAGCTATTTCTCAGCTAATTTTCTTCACCCCTGGACGTACCCGTGTTGGCTGCCATTACCCACCATTAGCGATAGACACAAGCGGCTCTTTTTACCATCTCCTACTTCTCTTTATTAGGTTGCTGGAGTGGAGCCACATGAAGTGTGCAGAACAGCATACAAACAGTGTTGGACAAGAGACACAATATCTCCTGCTGGTATCAGAAAGCACACTGGTCATTATAGACTAAATCATCATTCCCCTGTTCTTTACACCCATTATTTAAATCTCCTCTCCGGATCAAACTTTCTCCACGTGCCCGACTCAGTGAGATGGAGATGATGAAGATGACTTCTTTAAGGCTTCTCAATGCAGCAAAAAAAAGTCAAGCCACAAGTTGGAGCTTCCCCTGATTATATTATTCAAATGCGCTGTGACATCACATGGATGTAATATAAGGCTCCCGTTGCTGCACATGAGGGAGGACTGAACATCTCCAAACCACCAACAAAGAGCACTCTGTCGGTCCTGAGCGAGAGAGCAAACAACTACGAAGACCAACGGGTGAGTGTCAGCCGCAACATACGATAAAAATCAATATTGTTTTAACCTTCATTTTGAGAAGAGCGAGCTGTGATGAATCCCGGCTTGTTGGACTAATCGAAGCTCGGAATAAATGATTGGTTGACTCTTTTCAAGCTTTTGAAACTAAGCGAGAAGTGCTTAGTTTATTTGTTTTGAATTCCTTCATGGTGGGGTAAGTTGAGCACATGGTGATCAAGTGATCGGCTTCGGGCTTTCGAGGGGGGGGGTGACACAGGATAACAGCAGTTCTTCACAGGGATGGACTGTTTCAAGGGAAGGAGTAGATAATCTATGCTGGCCAATTCCACTGAAAATGACTCGTACCACGTATTATTCTGTGTTGTCCTGTATTTCTGCTCTCGTACCATCCCTGAATGAAAAACAAGAGGCTTAAGTCTCCTCACACAGCTGCGCCACCATTGTAGGCTGATAACATTCGCTCCCGTGGCCGTGCGTCCAGCCAGTACGCAGACCTGTCAGATGATAAGACAACAGCAGTCATATGTTGTCACACGGGGGCATAAGGCCACAGACAGGAAACGCACTCATGGTCCAGCTCATTGTTCATTGTGCAGCACCATTTTCTCTGCTTGCTGCTGCAGTTTAGTGGGTGAAAACGCATTCATACAATTACGCGATTAGACGATCTCATGGAAAAGTTGGGTGCTGCAACATGGTCATTTAGGTTTGGCCTTATGTTTGGCTTTGAAGCAGCTGCTGTTCCTCCCACACTGTTTACTCATTTAAGAGCAACAACTGCAGTCCTCACAACACTGAATTGAATACTTGAATTAACATCATTTTTAAAATATTAACAACATAAACTAGACTGACGGACGTCAGTTAATTGAAGTTAAATCTGAAAAACGGCATCAAGGTGTGATGTAAGAAGGCCAGTGTTGTAAATATTCGCTGACGGAACGCCGCAAGACAATTATTAATTAATTGGTCTGACTCAGTGGTCCTGTTGTCTATAGCTGCTAATCATCAGATTATCTATTTCAACACTTTCATTGAAAAATAGCTCCTATGCGACTATTAGATGCAAGACCTTTTCTATCCTTTTCTATTCCTCTTGCTCTTACATTTCAGTAGCTTTCTTAGTGAACTATACACTTATTACTGGGGATAAGCAGACACAAAATACCACTTCTAAGCCTGCGTTGTTACACGTGACACAATTCGTCAGGATTGGGCTTTTGGTTAACAACATGTCTTTCTCCACAGACGAGTATGGGACAGAATCAGGATAGACTAGACGGAGGAGAACATGCCCTCGATGAGGATTCAGAGGAGATGAGGCAGAGTCCTGTCTCTGGAGCAGCAGGCGGACATACAGGTGATGTCATGGAGGGAGGAAGCTCCAGTGAGGAGGAGGAGGAGGAGGAGGAGGAGGAGACCGGCTCCACCAGGGAAAATTCAGGGGAGCCAAACGCTCAGGATCTGGTCGAGGGTCCCGGCCAGGAGCCAACAACACCTTCTAGTGAGAGGCACAGTAATTTGTGGGTTAGTCCTTTGGCTGCAAGGGAGGTGAGACAGGGAGGGGCAGCAGGAAAGGAGGGAGGAGGAGAAGGAGGAGGAGGAGAAGGAGGCAGGACTGCTCGACTGGTTCCTCAGAAGACAGACAAGAACCCAAAGAGCAGTGTAAAGATTGGGGAAAGAGCTGGAGCACACAAGCTGTTCAATCAAATCAAGGCAGCAGAGAAGAAGACTGAGGAGGAGCTGGACGCATCTTTGAAGATCAAGATGGAGCATCAGGACGAGGGAAGTGTCCAGCGTGAGGAGATCCAGGGTGAAACCCCTTCTGCTGAAGTCTCATATGATAAGTTTTATCTTGCTGTTACCTCGGATGATGGGTCCTCACTTGAAAACAACTCTGCAGACGACGCCGTGATAAAGATGAGCAAGTGCGGACTTCATGCAGGAAGTGATTTGCTACTGTCTGTTCAACAAGATCAGCATGGAACCGTCATGGCTGAAGTTGGAGACATTAAACCTTGCACAGGAGCACTGGGCCACTTCAGCAAGAGGAAGGAGCTGCCTACAGCCGAGCCCCAACATCCTTTGAAAAACAGTCTACAGAGAGAGTCTCTATTAGACGTGAGTGATGCCATTCACCGTAGACCTCCGAAGGAGGAAACAGAGAATGAAACAAGAGAGGAAACATGTGGGGTGAAGCCAGTTTGGAATGACTACTCTTCAAAAAAGCCAGAGGTCGCTGACACCGATGATCAAAGCGAATCAATGAGGCCTTATCTACCAATGGACGCAAGTGAAGCAACCAAAAATCAAGAGATAGACTCATGTTCAGAATCTGATTCGACCTCTGAACCTAGTTCTATTTTGGAGAGGTTACTGAGGAAAAATAGGAAGGAGACGACCCCGGCTCTTTTGGTTATAAAAGAGGTTGACACAAACAACGGCACCATGAATCTTACTGCCGAGAGGCTCCTTGACTGTGCCGCGACTGAGCTATCCAACGCTAAAATCCACCAGTCAGGTGCAACGACACCGCCGTCAGTATGCGGCATTAAGGGGTTGAACGAAAAAAGACCTGACGAAAACTCTGCAACTGAAGATCATCTCATCAAGTATGTGGACGTGAAACACATGGCTGCTGCTGATAGTTTCACCTCGGACGGTGTGCAGCATCGAGTGAGTTTGATTACTACGGGTGAGAGCTCACTCACAAAATCCTACGGTTCCAAAGCTGATTGTCAGAGTGCAGAAGAGAATGTCAGCTCAACAGACGCTTCAGGCAATGAGGGGAAGGAGAAGAAGCTGAACACGGGGCCCTCTGAAACACTGTCTTCAGACAACATACAGTCAGCTGTTTGTGGGAGAATGTCATGGGAAGTGAGTGGTGTGATCGCTGAGGACTCTGCTCCTTCATCAGTGGCTGATGTGAAATCCCCTCCCACAGAAAGCGGCGGACCAATTGCAGATTCATGCTATTTACACGCCGGTGGGAAGAAAGGCACCACAGCGGCAAGACCACCTCTACAAATAAAGTGTGACGGGGAACCCAAAACGGATCAGCAATTATTTGGCTCCACGTGCTCCGATGCTCAATTTGTGCGGAGGAAGAAAGTGAAGGACTCTACTGTCAGCAGTGCTGTACCAGCTGGGGATGCCGGCTCAGTTTTGGTTGAAGCCGGCACGGTTATCTCAGAGGAAAACCAACAAGTCATGAAGCAGGATCAGAGTATGACACTTAACACAGAAAATACGATGCCGGACCAAGCTGATGAACCACTCGGCAAATGGGGCGATACAGATGTATCATTGAGAAATAAATCCCAAGAGTCTCCCAAATCAAGGCCTGTTTCAGAACTTATAAAGGAGACCATTCAACTTCATGAAAAGCTTCAGCACCAGGATAGGCCAAAGACAGCTGAAGCCAAGACTGATGAGCAGAGCCAGTCGGTGAAGGTGGCGCAGATGAAGGCAGCTTTCGACTCCGTTCAGAAATCCCCAGACAAGGTAGTTGAGAGGAAACCATCAGTGAGGAGAGGTACGTTTAAAATCTATGTTACGGCATTACATATAACAATATCAAATTAATAGAAATGTGAGAAATGACAAGGTAATTTACCCCTGAATTCTGCTTTAATCAACCATCAGCTACGGCCATTTGGGCTGTC